ATCACCGCAAAAAATATTCAGACCATTTTCACCACAGAATCACCTACCTCTATGTGAATTAGCAGCACATTTTACTAGATTTACTAAATTTTAGACTTTCATAAAAGGTTCACTCCTTTGAAAGAATAAATTCTAATAAAATTAGAATAAAATTTTAATTCTTAATTCTAATTTTATATAAAAATAAGATAGGAAAAAAAAAATATTGAGGAATAATACATATAAAAGTGTTATCTATTACATTTATCATAATATCATTATCATTTTATCATTATAATATTATTGTATTTAATATTATAAATACAAATTTTTCATTTTTTATTTTTAAATTTTTTAAAATTATCTTTAAATTTAAAATTTAAAAATTGCGAAAAAAAAACAAAATTTTGAAGAAAATTTTGAGAGATTCCAACCAGTCAATCGTTTCAAATGAACTCAGTTCCACGTAATAATAAATAAATTTATCATTAAAAAATTTTTTGAAGTTCGATTTTTTTTAACGAATTTGAGAAATGGACAGCTTTGCATAATCGTTTTTTTTTTTTTTTTTAATACTTCAATAATTTGTTCCATATGAGTGAAAAATTATTTCACTAACAAACAAATAATAAAATAAAATTAGTGTAAAATATTCAAAGGCTATACACATTTAACGAAAAATTAATGAACGCCTTTTTTCTTATAAATTCTAATTCTTTATAAAGAATTTCTTTATAAATTCTAATTTTATATTGAAAAAAAAAAGTTGAAAAAAAAGATATCAACAATATTTTCATCGGTTTTTTTTTTTAGAATTTATTCCATCTAAAATACTTTAAATAAATTAGAAAATAAAGAAAATAAATATTTGTGTTGATAAGGATATCAATTATCACTGATAATCCACTATTATTTTGCCACATTCATTAAAATATATTTTTTCTTAATAAATATTCTTCAATCATATTATCAACATATATTTTTGATAATCATTTGATATTTTTGATATACAATAATCAAGAGAGGTTATTTTCGAGAGGTGCTATCAATCTACCTGTATTTTCAGTCAAACGATTCTCTGGCAATTTGTCACATTCGATAAATAAACTTTGTAAATCCAATCAAAAAATAGTGAGTGTTCTTCATTAATCTTAGTAGAATTCGCTTCTAAAAAATTTAAATCAGTCTTTAATGTCGTTCAATTTTTTTATCTTTTATCATATCATTTTATGCTTATAATGTTTATAATATTAAATTATATTCATATCAATCAAAATTTTAATTATATAAAAATAAAATAACAAAATTGCGATTAGCAGCGAAACCATTATTTATAATTGGAAAGCAGTAAAACGTTTATCTAATTTTATTGGATTGAAATTGAAATGAACAAGACTCAATTATCATATAACATAAGACAACCATAACTGACCAATAAAGCAATAAAATATAATTCAACTTTTATAACTTTCGGAAGCGAAACAATGGAGAAAAAATATAAATTATTATAATATTTATTGCATAACAATTTCGTCGATAAAATAGGTGAAATTCGTGATTTTTATTTTTCTCTAAGCTGAATTAAAGCCAAATTTTGCCAAATTTAATATTTTTAATTTAATTTAATATAATAATAATATTTTTATATTAGTAATAATCGAATGCATTTTATTTCGGCATAGAATGGCTTAGAGGATTGTGGCTAAATTCGAAGCGTCGATGCTGAGAATCTACTCACCGAAAGAATAAACCTATCCAAAAATTCGAGTGATACTAGCGATTCACCTGTACTTCTATTGCCTAAGGCATATTTGTCTAGTGCGATAGGCTAATGGAGCCAATGAGCCAGTAATGCTGAGAGTCCAAAAAAAAATGTTATCTAGGCTAAGAGCAAATAGAATGGCTTCGAACTTCTATTCCTCAACTGATAAGGATTCACATTTCTTCTCAATTTCTACTCGATCACCAAGTCAAGGATAGTAAAGGAAGAATGATATGGTTGCATCATAAATCTGGTCCTTTTTTTATTCCGACGAGAATAAACCTGAAAATGAAAAAAATCCTAGTGCTACTGGATAGCCATCTATGCTTCAATCGCCACTTTTTAATCACTTTAACACCCAGTGAACTCAAATAATCTAACTGGAAACAACAAATGCTAAACATTAAGTGATTCTATGAAGGAGTCATTAAACGAGAATCAATGCCATACAAAACGAAAGTGATATATGCTATCAATGGAACTGCGCATGATAAAGGTTCATGATAAAACCTAGAGAGATAGAATGACTTAGTGGATTATTGCCCTCATTTCGAAGTACCAACGCTAAACAATTCAATTCTACTTTAGGCAGAAATGAATATATCTTTATCCAGTGGTAACTCACATATATTTCTATCGCCCAAATATCTCCCTAGCAAAAATTTGTCCTATCGCGACAAGCCAGTGGAGCCGATCTAACCACAATTGGTGTGCACCATTAGATAAAAAAAATTCATGCCTAAAATTCGTAAATAAGTTATATATAATATAAAAAATAACTAATAATGTGATATGATGCTACTGTCTGTTTTTTTTTTTTTTTGAAAGAATACTTATCATTAGTGGCTCACTTTTTGGACCAGGCAAATTTTACCAATAGGTCACCAGTGAGTTAAATATGAGTCATCAGTATTCCGCGAACTTTCGAAAGATAGGATTTATATACGATAAGAGTCAGAAAGATAGAACGCCTTCGTGGCTTATCGCTTTCAAAATTTCAAAATACCAGTGCATTCTATAAGGAGTACCTTTTCAAAAATGCAAGTAATAAATCACTAGTAAATAATCGAAATAATTCTTAAAAAAAGCTTATATATAATGTGAATTTTTTCAAGAGGCGCTCATCACTACGGGTTCCACTCTCTTGTCGGACCAAACAGAGTAAATCATATGGCGATAGAGCTACCTACACACATGACGAGTCACCAACACTCCGCGAAAGACAAGAGAACACTCGCCAGAAGAAGCCGTGTGTCGATACGCGAAAATACGCGATTGTCCGCGAGATTTCAGAAGACAAGAGAACCCGCATATCGATACGCGAAAATACGCGATTGTCCGCGAGTTTTCAGGAGACAAGAGAACCCGTATATCGATACGCGAAAACACGCGATACGCGACACTCCACTAAGCTATTATTTCTATCATCTAATTTGTATTTGATAAATATGTATGCGTGTTGCTATCAGTTTTATTATCAATCAGTATTCGTAAGTATTAGACAATTTGCGATGAAAAAGCATTTTTTTTTTTTAAAGAAAATAATAAGCTACTGGGATTTTAAATATTTTTAAGCCCTTAACGATAATCGATAAAAATGAAATTAGTTTCTTTTTTGAAAATTGAATATTTTATTACATAAATCAGGATTTCATTTAAAATTATCAAAATACTATCAGAAATAAATTTATCAAAATTATTAAAATTTTCCAAATTTTTAAAATTAAATTTTTAAAAAATAAGCATAAATTTTCAAAAATAAATCTTATTATATAAATATTAAATCAAAATATTAAAATTATTTCAAAATTAAATTATTAAAATATTAAATATTAATCATTTTTTTTGAAAGAATTTAATTTTAATAAAAATCAACTGCTAAAGAAAAGTCGAAGAGTCTCAGCAATTACTTTCAACGCATGCGTCGTCTTTTCAACTTGTTTATCACTCTTATGTACCAAAATAATTTCCAATAAAATACATTCATTAAATTAAAGATAAATGATAAAATGAAATAAAAGATAAAATGATATTTTCCTCCATCAGCTATCAATTTATCAATTTGTCAACACATTTTTACTAATCTTTTTATTTTTCCTTATTTTCCAAAATACAATCACGAAGACGAATTCGAGAAAAATTCTTTAAAATAGCAACCAATCTAAAAAGGCTTAAGATTAAAAATTTTTATAAAAATACAAATTAATTTCTCTAATTTAGCTAAAAAAAAAGAAACTAATTTTATCTCTAACAATCGCTAATTTATGGAGAAAAATTTATAAATATTTATAGAATAGAAGAAAAAAAAAGGATAAAAAAATTTATCCTTTAAAAAAATTTACTTCAAATATTAAAATTAAAACGAATATTTAAAAAGAAAAAAAAAAGCCTTTTATATGAAAAATTCTTTTTATATGAATTAAAAATTAGATATATTGCGAAAACCTACGCATAATTTCACGATTTACCAAAATAATATAAAAGCAAAAAAATTATTAAAATAAAAATACAAAAAAAAATAAATATATATAAATAAAAAACTAATTTTTGCTATAAAAAAATCTATGAAAATCTAAATTTTTTTACAAAAGCATATCTAATGAAAATAAATAAATCAAATCAAATGTATAGCGAAATAATGCTATACGATAAATCAGGTTTTAAATTTCAATAAAATCAAAAATGATGAAGAAATATTTCAAATAAAATAGAAATAGTTTAAATGCAATCAAATCACTTAGTTTCGAATTAAAAATCTTTCTTTATATTTTTGATAAACATTGAAGGTAATTTGATATTTAAAACCCATTTATGAATATATATATATATTTATATATGTATATTTTTCTATAAAATTCATCATCGAAAAAGATTTTTTTTATTTGCATTGCATCGATAATTTCACGAGCCCATTTCATTTTTGATTAGGACTGCTAATACTTTAAAATAATATAATATTGCAGCGCTTAGAAATTTATTTTAAAAAGAGAAAAAAAGATATATATATATATATATAAAACTATTCGAAAAATATACTATTTTTCGATCGTAGCAAATATTCACTCAATGCTAAGATCGGAGGAAAAAAAAAACAAAAAAATATATATAATAATGTACAATTAATTAATGAACCCGACTTAAATACAATTTGGTACATTTAAAAAAAATATAAATTAAAAATTTTTAAAATTCTTATTAATGAAGCTAAAAATTTTCAAAAAAAAAGCACCTAGAAAAATAGCATGAGGTAAGCTTATTATTAAGATATGGTTAGAGCGCGTAATTGACGAGCTGGTGGACTTCCACATGAATCAGATAAAGCCAATGAACGTCGAGTAGTCCAATCTGATAATTTGCTAAGACGAAAAGCAACTTGCGATCGTTGAGCGGCTGTTGATGATGACCTCTCGCATAAACGACCTTTAGCTTCAAAATTGCCAACGAGATTTTTCACAGTACTTCCTTGTTCATTTTCATCATTCGACTTCTTATTAGTGCAAAAAGAACCAAATTTTTTAGAATTCTGAAAAGCAGAACCAAAAATAAGAGAAAATGCTTCATGAAACTTTAGCAAAAAATACGAAGACTATAATAATAATCACGCTTCATCAAAATTAAATTTTAAAAATTTAATCAAAAACTAACATTACGCCTTGAGATATTCGATTTACTGCGACCATATCGATTTGTATAGTTAACACTTTGACCATTAGTATAAAGTGGAGAAATGGAAGGTGCAATATCAAATTGGTGGCGCTTTTTGAAAGCTCGTAACATTCCTAACGAGGCAACTAATTAGTTCAATAAAAACAAAAGTTCTTTTTTTCGAAATTTTCGATGGGTCAAATCGTAAAATATTATAGTCCATAATGACTGCGAATAAAAACCTTCAAAAGTCCTTAATTGTTCTACGAATCCTTTATTTGGTGTGACACAGTCTCTCTTTTTTTTTACATGTTCCATAGCTTGTGACAGGTCCCATCCATATTCCTAGAAATAAAGGTAAAGAAATGAATAGCTATCGGCTTTTCCGAGCTGATAAAAATCGTTCCACTAAAACTTTCAATTGCTCTGCTACCTTGATTACAAAAAAGCATACTTTCATAGCGAATGCAATAACAGTTGACGAAGAGCGGCTAATACCTTTTTTACAATGAACGAGAACAGAGCCACCTTTCTCCCTAAAGAACAATTTATCAAGATTTCTTCCTCTCCATTTACCAAAACTGATTTTCTAATCCGGCTGGCTCTGTTGAATACCACATTAAGAATTTTCGCCAGATAACTTGTGGTCAGAATTATTAGTGAATTCTCGACACAAATCCATAATGAAAAGTTTAGTGCTATTTAGCAAAAAGAATTGAACTGTTTGATTTTACTCAAATAAGTATTCAGTATAGAATTCAACTTTTTGCAATTTAATTAAATTATGCAACTGTTGAATTAAATAAAAAGTACTTGGCGTCTTTAATAAATTGGTTAGTCTGATTCCAATGTCGCAATAATTCGGAATTCGCTTCATCAGTAACCCGTATTTTCAAGTATTTCAATCGTGCGGGGAAAAAATTCTCAACTTCATTAGTCACATTTACTATATATTCAATACTGAAAATAAAAACTAAAAAATTTCTTTTAATAAATAAAAATTTTAAAATTTTCACATTCATAATAAAAAATAAAGATTTTTTAGAGAGAAAAAATATGAAAATTTTATAGCATATATGTCAAGGACAATCATAAAATAGCCAAATCAATGGCACAGATCAGTTACGGAAAAGGTGATTAGCATTTTCGACCTCTACAGAATACATATTTATGAATACTGACAGGACGGAAAAAAGCAACAACCTGTTTCTTTGTAACCACTGCCAATCACATGCATTCCATTCAGTTCCTAAATACAAATATGGAAATATTTGTGATGCTTTATCGAGTTGACCCATAATAACTAACATCTGTCGACTTATAAAATCTTTATATTTGTCTAATTTTCTGCCCATGCCTTCTTCAACCTGAAAAATATAATTTTTGATATTATCGTGTGACTGACATATAAAATGACACCTCTAACTCTAAAACGATTGTTAATGTTAATTATATAATTTTTATCTTAAAATTAATTATGATAAGCTTTTATCATAACTTTTTATCAATAAAAAAAATAATAGAGCAAATATACTTTTAAACGAATATCTTTGCTAGTTACTTCATCCAAATCGACTGTTTGCATAACTTCTTTCAAATGACAATATATTTTCGCTTCGACTGAAATTAAATAATCACCAAAAAATAATCACCAAAGGTCGTTTAAAGTTGTACCATTAAAAATAACCCTTCAAATTAATAAATCGAAATTAAGAGAAAAATTATGAATTATGAAAATTATGAAAAATTATGACCAGAATCGATTTGTTCGCATTTAAAGCGTTCAGCATCAGCACAAGTTGCACCTAGATCGCCATTTGATTCAGATATACTATCAATCACCGTTCGCTCCCTAGAGCAAAGCTTCATAAATGAATAAATGCAGCTTTTAATAAATAGAAAAATCAATGGAATTTTAAAATTGATAAACAAAAAACAACCACTGGGCCCTTAGAATATCATTAGATGTAATGGTATTCCGATAATAATTGACAAGATAGTTCGATGCTTTAGTTATACATCTTGAGGACGATCGAATTACATTAAAGCGAGGACTTTTTTCAATTTCAGATATCTCCTGAAGAATAATGTGTCGATTATTATAACGTAAAAAAAATTAATTAAAAATTGTAAAAATTAAAAATAATTTCAATATTTTTTCAAAATTCACCAACCCTAAGTAGGCATTGGAAAATTGTCCACATAGCCTGTACTGAAATCGGTCGAAATAAATACAATGATGAATCAAAATCAATAACGATACCACCATCTCCATCAAGCCGTACACGTGTAGTTGAAAAAATAGGAATAACTACCCCAATCCTAAATTTAATAACACGTTCATTTTTCGATCATAAGCTTAAATTAAGGTCGCAGAGTCAATTTCTTAGAGAATTAATGGAACTACACTAGCATTTGGCCGAAAATCCTTATGTTGAATATATACGAAAAAATGAAATAATGATCGAATAAATTCTAAAGTTTGTTAAACGCTGTGATAAAATATTTTCTGGAAAAAAAATTATTCTAATAAGGAAAAAACTAAAAAAAACACCTCAATTAGAAAACAATGACAAAGTTCTATCATAATTGTAATTAGTAATAAATAGTAGTAGTAATAGTAGTCAATAAATTTGCTAAGATACGTAACAAATTATAATTATAAAAGATATAAAAAAATGAGAAAAAAAAAAAAAAAAACTAACGTAGCTTTATTGCCAGAAAAGCAGTTTAACCCGATAAGAACAACTTCTCGCCTCGTATCACAATGAAATTGCCTATTATTAGAAGCGACTACAGCTAAATATCGAGCACCGGTCATTGACGTAGAATAATCTTGACTCACTTGCAGTTTAACAGCCATCGTTAAAGTATCTTGTGGATGAAGAATGTGCAACATCGCTTGTAAATGTTCTTCAATTTCACCTTAAAAAATAAAAATTCTTAATTTTTTCTTTAAACAAAGACTCCGAAATAACAAAAAAAAAAATGAATAGGATTTACCGAGTCATTTAGCAAAGTTACAAAGGCAAAGTTGGTTTGGTATTACAGAGATATCACAAGCCAAATATCTCACAGCTTAGGTAAATTTTTTCCCTTTAAATGTAAATTCTCTTAGTTTAAAATTAAAAGGTTTAGATTTAGGTTTATGATTTTAGACTTCTGATGTTTCATAAATTTAAAATGCAGCGACAGAGGCAGCTCGTGACATGTAAAGAGTTTTTGAAACAATGTAAGAATGGTTCGGAAAATTGCGATCCGCCAATTTGGATATCGAAAAAATTGTCATGTTCTAATGTCATATTCTGTATTACTTCATGAAAGAGCTGATTCCACTATTTACGTCTATAAAAAGTTTAGAAAAGAATCGAATCTACTATGGCTCTATTATCAGTTTGCTAATTTCAGAAATCCATTAATTATTCAAATTTTATTTTTAATAACAAGAAGCTAATTTATAAGATATTATGTAGGCTTATCGATAATGATAATGACCCCGATTTACTTTTTCTTTCCTCACTGAATTCCAGTGTAACTATAAAATTTATCTCAGAAATAAAATATAGAATAGGCTATCAACCAAAGAAAGCTGTTAAATTTGCAAAGCCAAAATATGCTAAAAATTTGCGAAAATTCATTAAAATTATTAAAGAAATTTTTGGAAATGAAATCAAAGAATGATGCATAACATATTTTATACTCGAATAAAATATATATTTTTCTTTTTAATTATTAAATTTGAATTGAATTATATTCTTTCAAAGTGAACGGTTCAATAATTTCTCAAACATTCAATTGATGATAACTCGATATGAATGCGAATAAGAGTTAATTATTGTCATCATAAAATGTATGAAATGCACGAAAATAGAATTTACAAAATTTTTTCATGCGAATTAAATAAGAAATCTCTGTTATTTATACATATTATTACAGCTTATCGAAAAGAACACCTGTAGGTGATCCTTGACCGGCATTCGTACGATCAGGTTGCAAAAGTATTACAGCTGTACCTTTAACGCAAAAATAGCACTCGCTATTAAAAATTTGTTCGCAATCATTTCCCGGAATGCAATCGCTTCCATTAAAATTCTGAAAGGAATAAAAAATCAAGAAAAAATATTGTAAAATATATGTTATAAACATTAAATTAAATCAAAAAATATTAAATTTTAATAATTTTTAATTTTAATAATGAATAATAATTTTAATAATAAATTTTAAAAATTTTAATGAAAAATTCAACTAAATCACCTTAAACTACCCAAATATTATATAAATTATTGAAAAAATAAGGAAACTCAACCAACCCTCTGCAGAGAAATTTCGGGATCGCTTGGAGTGGGCGATCGCTGCACTGTTACTAAAGACATTTAGCACGCTGAAAAATTTTATTAAAAATTAAAATTTTAAAACAAGAAATTAAACGTAAAAAATTAAAAATTAAAAAAATGAATGAAACTGGAAAAAACGAATGAATGAATTTTATTAAACAAAAATTATTTCCAATTAATTCCAAATTTAAGAAAAAAAATTGCCAAAAAAACTAACAAAAAATTCCAAAATATTTTAATTTATTGCATTAATGATGATGATGAATCGAATTTTTTTAATAAATTTTTAACGGCCAATTTCGCAATAGATTTCAACGAAATTATACGAATATTCTTAAAAAAAAATAATTTGTAAAATAAAAAATTTAATTGATTAGAAAAAAAAGAAAAGAAAAGAGAAATATTAAATATCGAATATATTCCTCCATTCAGCCATCCAATTAATCACTTTTAGAAATAACAAGCATCGTTATTGTTATGTTTTACGACTTTTTGCATAATTCTTATCGATTTAACCAAGAATAATAATAATAATACATAAAATAATACATCTTCCCTGGATTTTATTGTTTTTCATTCTTTGAACTGATTAATAAGCCAAACCTAAAAAATTAACTGAAACTTGCTTATTAATATAAGAGTATAAAGAGATAACAGATAGTCTAGCATTAATAATACTAATGTTTAGACCTATAAGAAGACCCATCATATGGAAATAAACTTGTCATTTAAAAAATCCGGTGATTCTGGCGGATCGCCTGGACTTCAAACACCAAGGAATCCTGGCAAAAGTTTCTATATTAACCACTTATAAATAAAAGAAATAGAACGAAAAAGTTGAATGCTGTCATCATTGATTATCTTTCTTCATCACATAACAGCATTGCTAGTTGCCTGCGCTAGCTATAAAACTCCTTTGCCACACAGCTACTTTAGGATAGAAATAGAGATATAGCCCTAGTGCTGCCTTTTGATAAAAAGATAGGAATCGAACCACCTATGATAATTTGAGCCTAGTTCCAGCAATACATCAGCAATAAACCTGACATATTTACTTAACTATTCTATCTGTTATTTATTATCGCGAAATTAAGAGAAATAATAAAAAAATAAAAATAATAATTCCGAAAAAATCAAATAAATAAAATAAAAATAAAAAACTGAAATCAAAATTACATATATGATGAAATTATTTGCAAGAAAAGGCAAAGATTTCATTGACAATTAAATTGATAACTTTAATAATTAAAAAAAAATTAAAACTTATAAAAAATTTCATTAAAGCATATATATATATATTAAAAATATATTAAATAAATTAAAAATCAAAAAATATATTAAAAATTAAATATATTAAAAACATTTTTTTGCAAAACATCAATTTGAATAAAATAAAAAGGCAAAAAATGATTAAAAAAACACTCACTTACTGAAATAGTTGTGATTTGATGATAATTTTTTTTTTTTTTTTTTATTGGCTTGAGTATTTATATTGGCTGAAAAATATTGAATAACGGATATTTTTTCGAACAATTTTTCATGAATTTTGTTTAAAAAAACTCGAAAATTATCGTGCTTAAAGCAATAAAAATAACCAATTAAATGAACAACTAAGAGAAAACTCAATCAACTAAAATGCGAAAATATCGAATTAAAAAAAAACTCAAATAAAATAATGTAGGCCGTAGAAATATTAAATATTATCACAAAAATATCACAAAAAATATCATCGTTTTTTCGCGATGAATTGTTATAATTAGAAGGGAAAAAAAGGGGAAAAATTTTTTTCAAAAAAAGAGCAATTCATATCATTTATGATTTTACATAGAACTAAAACAATGAATATTGGGCGAAAATTCGCGGAATGGTTTAGCAGTAAAATGCATCATATGTTACAATTTTATGCTTCGTAAAAATAATGGATATGAGAAAATGCCAAAAGTAATTTTCAAATTGTAAAAAAGGGTAAATAAGGGGGGGGGGGGTAATGGTAAGGGCAATTGTAAAGGTGGTTTTCATTTATACGACACTCGACACATTCTTCTGACAGACTTTCAAAAGACTCTCTGATTTTCAAACATCTTCTGCGTTTCACGATTAAAAATAAATCTAAAACAAATATTGAATGAAAAAGCAAAAAACAGCTAAACAATATTCCATCATTTTTAAGCTATAGGCAAATTAAATAAAGCATCAGACAGGCTTCTCATTCAATTTTAGAAAAACACAATTTTTGGATGGATAGAAATGCTAGTGGCAATAAATGACTCTATAAACGCATGCCAGTGGTTAATAACGAGAGGAACATCGGCAATAAGCGCAGATATTTATATCAGAAAAAAAAATGCTATTATATTGAAAAATGAAAGGGAACAATTCGCTATGAGCTACTCAAACCTGATCAAATCAATGCTACTATTCTTCTTTTTTTAACAGCTCTCACCACTACTGGTTAGGCTGGTTCCAACTGCTACCAAAGGGTAAGAGGCTTCCAAGCGATACGGTCTGATGATATCGACGACAGTAATGGAAGCCATTCCTTTTTCCATCGTCTAAGTCCATATACTGCTGGTCTACCTATATTTTCAAAATGTTTTCTCACCGTATCTGTCCAGGTCTTGATTGGCCCATCTCGCTTTTGACGCCAACCATCACACGGTTTAGCAAATAACGAAATATGCGGCAACTCTTGTGGTGGACGACGGAGAACGTGCCCTAACCACCGATGGCGACGCTCTGTGACATTTTAATACAGGTGGTATTTGAGCGAAGATGGATACAATCATGTGCGGTTTTATCCGCTCGACGGATGTGTAAAATGTACCTTAGACAAGAGTAGTCAAAGGCAGATAACTTCTTAATATTCTCCACTCTCATTGGCCATGTCTCAGAATCACAAGATTGAACGGATCACGGCTATATAGATGCGTTACTATTACGAATAATTCAGCTGCAAAGTTTCCAGCTAATCTATCCTCTGGTTTAACTCCTTCTGCTTACCGATTCCTTAAATATTATTAGCTAAAAAAAAATTCCATATTTTTAAGAACATAAAAAAAGATCTCGAAAATGAAACGGCCTCGAATCTAACGAAAGCATCTTCTACGAAAAACGAATTCATAAAATTCGATTTTATTAAAAATACGACAATTTCTTTTTAAAACAATCTAAAGATGAATTAAACAATAAAAAAAACGGCTAATTTTTCAATAATAACTTATGATAAGCAGTTAATATAAAAAAAATTTCAACATCTCACAATTCCATGAATTTATAACAAATTTATATCTCAGCAAATTTGTTTAATAATTCAAAAGCAATTGCATCTCAAATGTTGGTGAACAATCAAAATAAATTATTTCCCAGATTAATCATTCCTCAATACCTGAAAAGTAAATAAATAAATAAATAAATATTTATGATATTATTCATACATATTCATAAATGGTATTCACGCATAGCGTAATAATCTATTAGCGTAGTAAACGAATATAGCCAAATTATAGAATTACAAAAATATATTATTATTAAAATATAAATTACAAAAATTACAAAAATATAAAATATAAAAGAAATAAAACGAACGAGATCAACAAAAATAATAAATTTTTTATTTTTTTTCGCTAATGGCGCTCATCATTTCTGGTTTGGCTCACTCTATTAGTTTTTCAGGATCAAATGAATTTTGCCAAGAAATAATTTGACAGCATATATAAGTCATCATTGATTAATTATATTATCATCCGGATTTTTGAAAGAAAAATCTGCTCGGAATTGAACATCAATAACAGCGCACAGAAATGAAAATCCCAATCCCAATTAAGCTATTCCACTCAACAACAATAATAACTTAATTAAAACTTTTTATACTAAAAAAGAAAATTTTTTTTTTTTTTAATCTAATTTATAAATTTTTATAGAACGAAAAATTTTTTTATATAAATTTTATATATATATATATATACATATATGATATTCAGTTCATTTGATGAAAACGATAAATGACAACGACGACGACAACGACGAAAACGATGACGACGGACGACTACAGCGACGACAATGTCGACAATATTGATGATGATGTGACGATGATGATGATGATCGCTCAGTTCTCATTATTCTTATTTTATAAAAGTGAATGGCATAATTCACAAAAGTTATTGCACAATAAAATTACTCGATTCACAAGAATATAAATAAACGATATGAATGATTATAATATTTATATTTTATCTTTTTTTTTTTTTTTTGAGGCAGTAAAAACTGAAAAAATTAACTAAATCAAGTTTTCTAAAGCGATAATTTATAATTTTAAGAATATTTTCGAAATTTAAAAATTTCCAGTTTAGATAACCAATTTAGAAATTTACATAAAAACAATCAAAATGCCTGAAAAAAAAGGTCATTGCAAAGTGAAAAATATTCACCGAAAATTTTCAAAAAATATCTCTTTTAAATCGTCAAAATACGAGTTTTAAATAAATATTGATCAGACAAATATTAGACAAAACTTTGCAGTTGAAGTGAAACGATTTTAACGATCGGCGAAAAAAATTTTTCTAAAATTTCTCAAATAAATTAATAACAAAAAAAAAATCCAATATTTGATTCAATAAAAAATGATTAATTGAAAAAATGATAATTAAATGATTAATTTGATAAAATTTTATTCATTATAATTATTATTGTTTTACTATAAATTATAAAATATAAAATTATTTTATAATATTTATTATAATATTATTTTTATTTATTAATATTATTAATTAATTAATTTATTATCAATACGCTTTTTATATTTATAATTATATTTATAATTATATTTAAATATAATTTTTGAGAAAATCTAATAAATATTTTAGAAAAAAGCGAAATTTTTTCGTTCAATTTTCAATAATTTCTGGTTTTTCTAAAATGAATATTACGATGAAATCCTTTAGCCATTGCAGTCAGTTGAAGATGAAGGAAGCAATGGACTAAATTTACCCAATTTACAAAATGAAAAAACCAGTTCCGACTGATATTTAAATAGGAGCTGCAGTCCACCTACGTAAAATGAAAAATTAGAAATACAACAAAAATTCACGTCAAATAACACAAAAATGGAACTATCGTAATATGAATTTCGTTGTAGGATATTTTGATTCAAAAAAATTCAGATTATAAGCCGGTTATTGCAGCGATTCTGATTACAGATTATATTGATAAGACGAAATTGTTTTCTTCTTATATAGCTGATAAAAGAGTGATAAATGTATCGAAAATTGAATGAAGCCGATTTTCATACGTCTTCATCCACTATAGATCCACTATTACTGTGAAATTGCAGTTTCGATAGACGGAAGTGTATTCTCTTGTGAAAGCGGTGAAACTTTCGCGAGCAAGTATGCTCCCATTTGTTTGCGATGAGGAAATTTTTTTTGAAAAAAATTCAAAATTTTCAAACATTGGATTGATAAGAAATGAATAAATATATCAATAGGTCCCAAATTGCCAGAGGGCTAATATTTTAAATAACTTTCGAAAGCCTTTTATTTATTCATTTATTGAAAACCAGCCAAGCGGGGTGAAAACGCCATATGCTTGTATTAATAATAACAATTAAAATAACATATAATAAAAATAATAAGAAAAAAAAATATGACAAAAAATTAACAATTTAAAGAGGAAATAAAGAGGAAATTATTACAGAATGATGTAATATAGTACAATTCGAAGTAACTGCATTTTTTAAATAAGCCAAAATTTATAGGTTTTTCCGATAAATCTCTTCAAAGCTGCGTCTTATCTCCTTATCATGTAGTGGAAGCCTTTCAATTTTTTTTAAACTATACCAATTTCAGTTGTCTATGAGCAGCTAATATTTTGAATATCTGACTGCAATATCCTTTTGAACTGTGCCCATATATTGATTTATGTGACTTTATCATATAATGGCTTATCAAATTTTCCATGTTATGGAGAGGCAGTGCTTTTACGATGAGAGTTTTTTATAATCAGTATGGCTTGCCTTATATTAACCAATCTGGATGAGAGTCTGCTCTAAGCAGGTGGTTCATCTTGTTAAATACTCATGAACCCTGTTGGCTTTTTTAACTAGCAATTATTCGAACCATGTTCTGTTGAACTTTTCATATTTTTAGTTGCTGTTGGATGTCTGCTATTGTGGTGACTACTATGATAACTGTGGCTGGTTTTCCAGTCCTAAAGTCAGTTTTTTTTATGAATTTTCTTTTTCTCTCATACACTCATCTAGCATTATACAGTTTTCTGGTGTTAGTGGTTCTGTTACCCTATTATTGCAATACAATCAATAGTATATCTTGGATGCTTCTTTAAAAACTGAGCATTTCAATTTTTGGCCTCTGCTTCTGTAATCTATCTCCTTGGCCTGGTGGCTAATTACTTAGAAATTCAAAATGTAGTGTTTATAACTCATATATACATCATAAAGCACCTCTATTCAATCTTTGCGACTTCTCAACAAGGTTCAAGGTTCCGATGAATCAGCTGTGCACCTCATCCGATTTTTTTGATCTTTAAATTTTGGTCTTAAAACGAGCGTACGATTACGGTAAAATGTTTTCAAATCTTTCAATTTATAATTTGAGTATTAATTCGCTAGGTGATTTCAGGTTTATTTTCTGGTGGTTTAGGATTAAATTAGCGAAACAATTCGGGAATAATTGCAATATTAAATTCGCCTTGTAAGTATGCAATGGAATTTCATATTTTAGAAAATTTTATTATTTAATTGTAGAAATATTTTATTATTATTATTTAATTTAATTATTTAATTGTTTAATTTATTTAAAAAATAGAAACGCTAATTAAATAATAATTATTTATTTTTGCTTTATTTTATTACCTAATTTATTTAAAAAATCGAAGCATTAATTAAATAATAATAATTATTTTATTTATTATTTAATAATTTAATAATTATTTAATTTATTTAAAAAATGGAAACATTAATTAAATAATAATAATTATTTTATTATTTAATTTATTTAAAAAATGGAAACATCAATTAGATAATAATTAAAACATAATTTTGCGTTTCAGTTTATTTAACTTTTACTTACTTTATTGTTTTCGAAATAATATGATAAACAATTCTATAAACAATTTTTTGCTCCATATTCCATGTATTTCGTAAAATATTTTTCTTTCTAATTTCTTTTTTTCAGTCAAAAACCTTAAAGAAATTTTTTTTTGGTGAAAAGTTTTGAAAAAAGGGATTTTTTTTCACTCTTTTAACAAATTCTTTCTTGATTCGATTTTTTTCTATTTCTTTCACTTTTAAATTAAATTAATCGTTGCTTTTTTTCTCGGTCGGAGAGGGGGGCGAGGGTGTGCTTATTTGAGAATTATGTTTTCTCATTTTTTGAATTTTGAATTTGTCAATATTAAAATAAAAAAAATTATAAATGAAAAAAATTGATTGATTTTAAGATAAAAAATATGAAAGAATATTCTAAAATTTATTATTATTTTTTATTAGTGCTAGAAAATTGTTGAATGTAAATTAATTTTAATTTTAGTTAAATGGATCAATCACAAAAAAAAATAAAAGAAGCAGTGGATCAAATGATCGTCGATTTAGATCGAAGGTTATATTTTCATTTTTATTTCCTCTTTAGAATTATAGTTTATTGGTTCAGTTAGTTTGGTTTGGCTATCCAAGCGTTTCCAAACCACTCGACCTATAAAAATATGGAGAAAAAATAATAGAAGCCATTTAGAGCTAAAATTTAAGTAAATAATTTAAAATGATTTTTTGGGCGAGAGCGGTCGCTTTCAGTTTTTCAATTAATATTGACTGCATTATTCATCTCTTTATTTTTTTCATTCATTTTAGTATTTTCCTTTTTTTCCCATTTGTAATAGCCATTTTTTTCTTTTTTTCTTTTCTTTCGGCAGCAAGCCTGTGGCTTTATCGCTAAAGACCTGAGGATTGCTATATTTTTATCTCCCAAATGAGTTTATGGCAAAAGAATGAGGAATATTATCATTATTATAATCATTTCTTTCAAATTTTACATGTTTTATTCATTTTTATTACAAATTTACTCATTTTATTTAATTTTATTTTTATTGTTTTATCTTAATTTTTTTCGTCAAAAAATTCGAAATTCGAACCTGCAATCTTCGGTTCCGTAGACCGACGCGTTATCTAACAAGCACTGCAAAAATAAGATTATGAGAATGTCCGAGATGCTTGGAAATAGGTTTTTTTTTATGAGCACTCACCATTATTGGTTAAACTCGCTAAATAGTTAACGGAGCCAGCCAAATTAGAAATAGTTTATTATATTAGAGGAAGAATAAAAAATTATGCGAATTAAGGGAAAAGGTGAATTTAAGGTTATCAACAACCTATAAAAAAAGCTAAAGACCTGAGGATTCATGAAAAGGCATATTGCTGACATAATATGATATAAATTAGGGACCTATTAACAATATATTCAAATTTAGGCCTATATTATAGTTTCAGAGTGAATTAAGAAATGGCTAGCGTTCAATGATAGTGCATTGCTAATTTGCTGATATGATATGATATGATATGAGCCTTTTAAATAATATCATAAATGATATTATCTATTCTTTTTTTTAAGATAGCTAGGGATGGCGTGCAAGCTATATCGTTCGGTAGTTTATTCCAGTAATTAATATTACGAATAAAGAAATCATGAGTCCTTAGTTTAGTTTTATACATATTTTCATAGATTTTCTTCATTATTTTCTGACATTAAACAGGTTTTTCTTTTATTTTATTAGTGAATAAAACAAGTTTATAGGCATATGAGAGATATTCAAAAAAAAATGTTTATATGCTCATCACATTGTTGTGAGGACAATTCAATTAGTCGAGAGGAAGTAGAAACTTGCATCGATCGTTGTAACGCTTCTATGAAAAAAATTCAAAATGTCATCGAAAAAGAACTTACTGCATTCCAAGTTATATTTTTCTATCTAAAATTATACTATTTTTCAAATATTTTCTATATTTTTTATTATTCTTTAATTATTTTAATTTTAAGTATCGTTAATAGTTATAAAATTATTAGTAAATAGATTATTATAATAGGTGAAATAAAATAATTGAAACATTTCATATAGAATAATTCTGTTTAGTGGGAATATTTGAAAATTTACCTTTATAAACAAATTTTTCAGGGTCAGTTAAGTCGATGTGCCTTATCATGTTACGATAGGTTGGTACAGAAATATGGCCCTGAGCCAGAAAAATATAAAGCGGAAGAGACGGCCTTATTTTCTTCACAACTTGAAAAGTATATACCTTTGATGAAACTAGAAATAAAATGGAATATTGGTTCCATAGAAAATTCCTCGTTATTTTCTGTTGGTATTTAATACTTTTTCCTTTTCCTTAATTGTTTATCTACTGAAATTCAGATCGGCCATATTTCTACCAAAAGTTTCACATACAACCAACTTTTGAATATTTTCGTCTTCTCGTTTTTCGAATCTCACCATAAATTTAATTGAAAATGCACATCACACTATCGGATATACTTGCAAGAAATACGGATAATTTACATTTCAATATCCTACTATTTAATATATTCAATATTTTAATATTCTATTAAAATATTTTAATAGTTAATTTATATTTTAAATTTTAGATGTGTCTCGACTTGTGCAGATGATCATGTGAAATTGCTGCCTCAAATAAAAGAACGGATTCTTAAAAATATTTGAAAAATATTGCAATTTTTAGTTGTTTTTTCAATTGTTTTTACATAAAATACACTTAACATCAAGAAAATACTGCCTAAAACAAAATAATGAATTTTTAAAAATACTTGAGAAATATTGCGATTTTTAGTTGTTTTAATTTTTAGTTCTATAAATTTTGCCTGTCTTCAGTTTCTCATACGTCGTTTCACATTCATTAAACCTTCAAATTCATGTCCCATCGAATTTTTGATATTCGATATTGGAATTTTAAAATACCGAAATGATTCAATAAAGAGCATTTCAAAATAATTAATGCTGAAACGCTGAAACGACTGTAAAACAAGAATCGTAGCACAATCTTTATTCTTATTATCAAACACGTCCAAAATCGTGAATGAATGCTAAGTGCTACTTTTTTCTTTGACATTTGACATAAAAAAGAATTAAGAAAACCAACATTTCGACTTAAAAACTTATAAGTGGAACAGTTAAAAAAAAAAAGAACAAAAAGAACTCGGAATTTTGGGGATATCAAAAAATAAAAAAAAATTACTGATGATAAATCGAATAAAATTGATAATATTAGATGCTGTAAGATTAATAATAAAAATACGATAAATCGTTGAAGAAATATTTTTCAAATAACGTCCCTCTTTGGATTTAGGATTCAGCAATAATGTATTACTAGGGACTACAGCTAGAAAAAAATTCAAGGCAACTCAAAAACAACATTTAAAGAATTCAGTGAAAAAAAAATGTACAGAATTATGAAAAAAACTGAATTGGTCGGCACGAGGAGGCTCATATACCCGCGCAAAAAAACAATGAAAATGAATATAGCCTCCGAAGTAACCGCAATCATCGCGACATTTTTTACGATAATAAAAACGAAAAATCTTATAAACAAAAAGAAAATGATAAAATATGATAAAAGAAAAATTAACAACGAAATTATAAGCGGATGATAAGCGGAAATCAGAGACAAATTAATTGGCTTGATTTAAAATCTCTAATCAAAACTACATGTTGAATTCTAATGCAATTCTCTTGGGATTCTCTTGGGATGCCCTGAGATGAAAATTTCGAAAATTTTGATTAATCCTTTTCCATTTTAGTTAATCCGTAAAAAAAAAAATTGACAGTGACTAAATATAAGTTTTTATGTGTTAAAATCACTAATTACATAATTAATTGCGGAAAAAAAATCGAAATAAAAACCTATAATGCCAATTTTTTATCAAATTTAATCACTGTATCTTCCAGTTAGGCGAAGCGCAGCATTTTTCTCCCCTAGCAATTATTCTGAATGAATGATTTGATAAAATTGAAATAATTTACAGAAAAATATATGCGCACCGAAATCACCAAAAATCACATTAAATGAAATAAACAATGAACGAAGGTTGGCGATTTGAAGCTGAAAACAAAAAATTAATGCGAAAACAAAAAAATATGCACATACCAATTGATTTTTTTTCTTCCCTCTTCCCTAAATTTTTCACAAATAGTTTTTTTCACAAAAATGAACCTCTTTCAAATTATTAATCGTATTTAAATAGCGATTTATTTAAATTTACATATTACGTATTCAATACTGTATTTAAAAAGAAAAGAATCCTAATAGATATATATGAAATCTAGCGAAAACGAAAGCAAAACTGCTTACTATGAGCCCCAAAGTACAGTGCACACCATAAAGAGATCAAAAAAAAAACAATTATATTAAGACAATAGCGAACAAATACCTATAAATAAAACCAGTTTACATTTCTATTCGCTTTTGATAACATCTTAGAATTTAACTAAATCAAAAACAAATTTTCTAAAAATAAGAATCTTCCAATAAAAAAATCAAAAGCTTACAAAAAACGAGAAGATACGAGCAATGATATCAATTCAATTGGGGACTGATGTTCTTCCTTGCTCTGAATTCTCATCAACTAAATGGCAGTCAGCAACATATAATTTTGGATCGACCGCCTTAATAATAATAATTAATTCTATGATGAATATAAAGCTATTTTTCCTCCATATTTAAAATCGAATTCTGAAAATCGAATTTTAAAACGCTAAACAAATCAAAACAAAAAAAGTACTTTGGGAATTGGTGATATACGAGTTTTCAGCTCTGATTCAATACGTCGCAACGCATGACGATCGTCATAAGTGATAAGATTAATTGCGAGCCCTAAATGCCCAAAACGACCAGAACTGAAAAATAAATACTCAAAAACTTTAAATAATTAAGATAAGAATGAAATATAAGGTAATTATATATAATACTTCTTATTCTTTTAACAGCTTTCACCTTTCATTACTGGTTAGGCTTCCTCCACTGGTTACAAAAATAAGGCGTTTAAAAGCGGTTTGACAGTAACAGAAGCCATTCCGTTTTCCATCTAAATCCACATAATGATGAGGCCCACCCATAAGTTCAAAATCTTTTCTGACCGTATCAAAACAGGTCTTGAATGGAATGCTCCTCGCTTTTGACATCACAGGCTTTAGCTTTAGCAAATAACGAAATATGCGTCAACTCCTATAAAGGATGACGAAAAACGTGCCCTAACTAGCGAAGGCGACGCTCTGTGATAACATTATTAATGAAATGGAAGGTGGATGCGATCATGTGATATTATATCCACTCGGCTAACCCCAAAAATGTACCTTAGACAAGAGTGGTCAAAGGTAAATAGCTTCTTAATATTCTCCATTCTCGTGGACTATGACTTTAATGGTAATTTCACGACGGCCCCATAAAGGTTTCGTCAACCGGAAGAACGCTTATGTATGATACTATAATAAGTGAAAATAAACATAGAGTAAGAAATTGTCGACAATTTGTCCAGATAAATTAACTAAAGCAATTTTTTTTAAAAAGCCCCCACCATTACTGGTTAGACTCGCTTCACTGGCTTGTGGGATTGTGGGATTGCCAGGCAGTCCTTTGATAATAAAAGTAAATATAAGTCATCAGTATCACCCCGATTTTTGGATTTTTGGTTTAGTTCTGCAGGGAGTAGAACTTTAGCATCAGCGATCCGAACTGAGCACGGAGTAATTCTACTCCAACTATAATTTTTTTTTAAGAGTCCTCACCATTACTGGTTAAACTCGCTCCACTGGCTTGTCGCATTGGGCAACATGCCAGGGAGTCCAGTCCCTTGGCGATAGAAGTACAGGTGAGTCGCCAGCATCACCCGACTCCAAATATTATTACAAATTACAAAAAAGATATTAACTGGATAGTCGCTAAAAAAATAAAGTAAGCAAAGCAAATCGACGATATGCCTTAAAAAATTCACAAATCACAAACCGTCCGATACGATGCAAATAGGTTTCAGAATTTCGAGGAAAATCAAAATTAATCACGACGTTAACGGCTTGTATATCTATGCCACGAGTGAGCAAATCTGAGCAAACTAAATTTCGACAGTTTCCTTGCCGAAAATCATGGAATACACGATTACGATGTGCTTGCGCCATCCGTGAATGGATATAGTAACACGAGTAGCCAATTTCGGTGATTTTTTTCGCCAACAGCTCCACACGCTGCGTTGAATTGCAGAAAATTATGGACTGATTGATTTGAAGCTAAAAAAAACAAATAGTTATTTTATATGCAAAATAAATTTATATTAGAGAAAAAATTCCTTTGAAAATATTTATGACATCAACGACAAAAAAATCAAAGAAAAATGTATTAACCTTTCGAAATAATGTATTCAGACAATGAACTTTTTGCTTTTCTTGTACGTAGGCATAATACTGCGTAACACCAATTAAAGTTAACTCGTCCATTAAATTGATTTCATGAGGTTCACGCATATGCTTTTCCATAAACTTCGTTACAGTAATTGGAAAAGTTGCCGAAAATAGCATTATTTGACGGTCTTCTGGTAAAAAAGGAATAGCTTTATCCAAAACACGTTGGAAATCATGTGATAAAAGTTTGTCTGCTTCATCGAGTACAAGAGTTGAACAATACGACATATTAGCTACACCCTATAATTTTTCTTATAAGAATTATTGCATGCATAAAATTATAACTGACATAAAAAAAAACAAGATATATAAACTAAAAAAAGCAAAAGCGAACTTTATCCATAAGATCGAGAATACGACCAGGAGTGGCAACTATAATATGTACAGAACCGTTAAGACGCATAATATCATCACGTAGATCGGTTCCGCCAGTTGTAACCATAATCTATAAAATATTGGTAGGTTAAAGAAATAAGTGAAAATCCAAACTATTTCTGAATCACTTTTATAATCAAGAATAAAATTAAAACAAAACCAAAAAAAAGATATGAAAGCTCCTAAATGAATATACAGAAAATTAAAAAATTGCGATAACCTTAAGATCAAGATGCTTGCTTAATTCCACGCATATCTGAGATGTCTGAAGTGCTAATTCTCGTGTTGGTACGATAATTAATGCTTGAATTTGCTTCAAATCTGGATTTATTTTTTCTATACAGGGAATGCAATATGCTCCAGTTTTACCGGTTCCATTTTTGGCTCGTGCCAATATATCTTTGCCTTAAATCCGATAGGTTAAACCACTGCATCTCTGGTGTACTATTGACAGAAGCTCGTTTCTTACTTATACTAACGCAAAAGATAACAAACAAATCACCTGATAATGCGACACTTATCGCTGACTCTTGGATCGGACTGGGTTTCTCCCATCCTTTTTCAAATATAGCCATTAAAAGTGGCCGCTTTAAACAGAACTCTTCAAAATCAATTCCCTTTGTAAGGGTGACATCCTGCAATTACTAAATTAAATTAACTTATAAAAAAAACGATGAGAATTAAGTTCAGTTGTTCTGCTTTATTTCGTCGTATGAATTGATTTAAACCAGTCAAAACCATAGAAATAACGTTTCGACTGACTAACAACAATCAAATTACGGCGAATTATCGAATTGCATAATTTTCAATTCCTCATTAAATAAAACTTTTAGTAAAAGAAATATTCATTGAGCTCAAAAAGAAATAAAGCAATTAACCGCAGTTTTATAGCGCATATCTTTTTCAGGTCTTTTTATATTGGCTTTCCAATCTTCAAAATCTTCTTCTTTCATCATTTTTTCGGAAATCATTTATTGACTGAGAATTTCGACAATCAATCTTTAAAAAAAAAACATTTCAAATAATAAAAAGCGATTAGTGACAAATTATCGGTAACCGATAAAGTGTTCGAAAAACTCAAATATTACTCAACTCAAATATAAATATTACTCAAATATTCTCAAAAAATTTTAAAAAATCCGACAATTAAAAAGTTAAGAAAATATACTACTGAAAATCGAATTGATGATGCAATTAGCACCAATTATTTTAATGTATTAATATATTTAACTACCTTTGTGAAATGAATGCTTAACACAGATAACATAAAAAAAACGAATTAGCTTTTCCTAATGTCAAGTGCTTGATAAATTAACTTACGGCTTATCACTGATAATAATACATCAATCTCGATAAGAATAAAATACATGTCAATGAGCTCTCGCGTACTTTCTAAGGACTATAGCGAGAAAAACATAAGAGGTCAATTAAGGGACGCTGGGTTTGAATATATGTGACAATAGGCCTTTTGAAGCCTTTTGTTTGCGCTATGTGAAGAAAAGAAAGCAAATATTCGAGAAAGAAAATAAAAGCAAAAAATTTCTTAAAGCCAGTAAAAGATATTTTGGAACTATTACAGTAAAAATATTTGCAAAAATTAAATTAAACTAAATTTTATTTTTTTGCATTTTCCGAGATGAATCGTAAGATTTGAATCTCAGACGATAGTTTTTAAGTTTTTTTTTAAAGCCCAAGCAAATCTATTTTAAAGAAAAAATTTAGAGGAGGTTTTACACATTAATGATTCCTTATAAATATATTAAAACATACATCTTCAAAACTAATTTACCTAAATTTTTCCAAATTATATGAAAAATGCACATTTCTAAAGTCTATATTATGCAAATCCCCCGACTTGCCAAGTGCTAAGCCCCAAATAATTCACCTCTCCTCACCGAACCTCAACAAAAAATCATAAAATAACGACACAACGCTATGAAAACCCTCAAACCACCGAAAAATCTCCAAGAGTGGTACTAACTGGCGGCTCAGCTTGTTTTCCGAGCCCTCAAGAGAATTTCTAATTCTCCGCAATCTCTATGATCTCTCGCCATGGCGCCACTCACTCTTAACAAAATTATTGGACAACAGCGGCTGATTGATAGTGATCCAATTCCCTGATTACGACAAGCTTGTTAGGAAGATAGCGCGAAATTTAAACAGCGCTGAAATTCTCGTAACTATGTTTAGTTCCACAGGTGGTGCGGTACTTTGGAGTGTCGTGCAATTTGGTGTCGTCTCGGAGAAAATTGTCCTGTTTAGGTCAGTTATTTAAACCGACGCAAATTCCCTCTACGCAAGGAACCACATTTCCACCATCCTTTCAAAGCAACGACTGACGCATGTTAAGGCTCCTCTCTATCCTCGACAGTATTTGATAAATTGGATCACGGACCGTGACATCGTTTGCCGTCACTCAGGATGCGACACATTCCGAAGCATAATAGTATCACGGATCTTGAATACAAAGATGCAGATAGATCTTTCCAGTGATAATTAGAGTTACAATAGGATCATGTATCGATGACGGCAGCGAAAACTAGGCCCAGCACCACCATTTATGTGCTCAAATGGGTAAAGCAAAAGTTCACAGGCGATCTCTTTGCTGGAATGTATACAAGCATGGCTTGCAAGTGAGGATGGAAGAGTCTTTCACCAGCCATGCCTAAGGCAATATTCTAACGAATAGATCGAAAATAGTTAAAATAGTAACCTTAGGTGCAATTAACATGTATAATACCGATATAAAAGTGGTTAATATAGTTTGCCCTTGCCAACATTCTCGAAAAATGCCCGTCCAGTTGCTGGTTTTTTTTTTAACTTATCTTAAACTAGCAAAAAATGTGCGAAAAATTTTTATGACTTTTTTTCATTTTGCAATAGGCCATCACCGCATCTTTCTTGGATAATAAAATCTTTTCTAGTAATTGCTAGTATTTTTAGTAATTTCTAGTAATTCTAGTAATTTCTAGTAATTGATCCTCTGTAAGTGATAATTATTGATAAGATAAACTGCTCGAACGGTTCGAATTAAGACAATAACTTTTTTCTTCTTCTGTTTTTCTGTTTTTCTTCTGTTATTTGGCGACATATAAAATTCTATTTTTTTAAAGTGATGATTGTCTACATCCTTTCTAAATATCGCGTGCATGTGGCTTCCTCGGTTATCGAATTATTAAGCCTGTTTCCGAGCAAAGATGTTGACTATATCACTGTGTATCTCGGATAACTCGGAGCGAAATGGTGTAGCGATTGTCATGTCCGATTTAAAGGAAAGTTTTGCAATATTTCGTATATACGCTCCAACTTCAAATGTAGATGACTGCGATAAGGATAAATTGCAGAAAATTGCAGAACTTCAACTTCAACATTTCTTCCGAGAGGTGACGTGGTTATAATCGGGGACGTGCATCCATAGGTCATGATGCCGTTAAAATGAATTCGGTAATTGACATCGGGGTAATGGCATCGGACCAAGCAGCTTGGAAACATCTTACTCTTGTAGCCAGCGGAGCCAGCCTAACCAGTAATAGTGAGAATTGTTAAAAGAAGAATTTGGCGACGCTTAAAGGCATGCAAATTTCTGCTACGATGGAAAAACAGTTGCAATACACAAAAAATATTTCATAAAATACCTTTCAAAATTTCAGAAAAAACAAAAACAACTTCAAAATCATTTTGAAAACCATGTATTAACAAAACAGTGGAAACCAATGAAAGGCGAAATGCAATAAGACGATCGGAATCAATTTAAACTTTTCGTATACTGATTCTTTTTGTATTCACTTTCTTGTCCTTGCAATGAACGAATCAACTGTTTTGTTTTCAAACGTCTCATTCGATCTTTTTCAGCTTGTTCTGCCTGCTTTAGTCTGAAAATACTTTCATGATATATCAAAATATACTTTTCTATAATATTCGGATTATAAATCGAGTTTTTACTATATTAAACGCAAATTGCATTTTTGCTCCTAAAATTTAGTTCTCAATTATCTCCCAATAGTACTCCCAATTGTTCTACCAACTTTTTTCCTTATCTAGTAAAAGTGTCTAAAAAATGAAATCAAGATGATGAGATATCCTCCTCGATTTTTATCTTTAGGTAACTCTCTGCCGAAGGACTCCTCCATTGAAGAAATGATTTATGAAAACAACGTAACCAAAAATTTCAAATATGCGACCAGAAATTGCACAAATTTAACAATTATCCTTTTTCCTTAAAATTAATAAAAAAAAGCAACCTTGCTAAAAATTGGTTATCTCTGCGAAGTTCACGTACGGTACTTCTCATTTCTTTCTTATATTTTCGAGTTAGATTTTTTATTTCAGTCTTTTTATCTAATTTCTTTTTGATTTTCTTTTGCCCATAGCCTTCGTCAACAGAAGGTTCAAGGAATTGCAGCATCCTTAATAAATATAAATTATTGTAACTAAAATCATTGCAGTTAAATATAAAATTTGAATTTAACTATGAATTTTTCAAGCCAAACTTTATTGAAGTTTTCAAAAAAAACGATTATCAACTTCTTTGGTGGCCTTGGTCGCTTCAGTTGCGTTATACCAGAATTTCGGCTCAATTCCTCTTCCAATAGTTTCTTGACTTCGATTAAAAATTCGTTTAATTTAATTGGGTAATTTTCTCTAGGTAATCTCGAAAGCAATTTACAAATGGGTCTGAAAATGAAAAGTAGGAAATAAAAATAAAAAAACTAGATACGATAAATTAGCAAAAAAGTAAATTTTCACATAAAATTTTCTAAATTTACCCAAATATGATGTTAAATATAAATGGATAAGCACTATATATCACAATCAGATTACGTAATATTTCGAGAATATTGTATATTAAACAACAGCGATTTTCTTCCGTATCTCCAAAACTGAAAAACTTAGATTTCAAAAATATTAGAAGTTTCAAACAATTTAAATAAAATTTACCATAATATAGAAGAAATTTTGATATGGAAAAAATTTTTAATACAAATGAAATTTTAATACAAATTTTATATTTAATTTTACATTACATTAAATTTTACATTAAATACAATTTTTTCAATTTTGTTTGTATTAAAAATACAATTTGTATTAAAAATACAATTTTTAATACAAATAAAACAAAATTTTCCTACAAGTCTCCTATTGTTTATTTTATTTACTGTCGAAACGGAAGCTTTAACGAAAATATAAATAGGAAACGTAGCAAAACTTTCCCTAATTGATCTATAATTTTCATGGGTGAAAAGGAGAAACGCTATCAAATGTGCTAAGCTTACCTTGTTGGGTTTTCATCAAACGTAGCGCGAATGTCAATTTCCAAAGTAGCATCAGTAATCTGAAGCAAAACCATATAAACCATAAGAAGAAAACACGAAACTGAATCACTTTTGAAAAACATAGGCTCGAATTATTTTCCTTTTCCAACAAAACCTCGCAATGAATAAAAAAATTCGGACAAAAGTGAAAAAAACTAAACTTTCAAAAGAATTTTTCTAAAAATTTCAAAAAAAAATTATAGTAAAAAGGACGTAAGAAAATTGTTCGAAACACTATAACCCACTTTTTTCTCTACAAAAAGCATTCTCCGATGAGGTAAAGATATTGGAAATATAGGAATCGGTGACTGTTCGTATTCCTCGTTCTTTACGGCCAACAAAAAAAACCCCTGTAGGAGTGCTATTACCTCTGGTACATACCTACAAATTAAATGAATAAACACTTTGAAAAAAAATGAAAAAACTTGAAAAAGGGAAGAAAATCGGAAAATCGGAAAACAGACAAAAATTTATTTTCAGATTTGGTATTTGTCTATAATTGCATATATCAAATTTCTGGATATGAAAAACGAAAAAATAAGATGAAGGAAACCTTTTGCTTTCTTTGATATAATCGATTAGTAACCCAGTTAAAATTACCATCCTTGCCGCGTTTTTTAAACAATCGATTCGTGCATTAGCGATGAGATTACAAGTAAAGGCAAGCATAGGAGTGCAAACAGGATGAAAAGCACCTGTTACTGGAAAAAGACAAAACACGAGCTTTAATAATGCTATGAACCGAAATCCAAAAATTAAATGCAGCCTTTTTGAATGAGCCCGGTATTGCTGACGCAAAACGGCACGAACACATCGAGTTCCGTGTTCTGTATCAAACTATAATCTTACTAAATTTGAATATTAAAAGGGAAAAATGCATATAAACCAAAATCATTAACATAAAACTAGAGTGAAAATAAACCTTCAGCAAAGTGTGGAGGACCTTGATCAAGCAACCCATAGTATCAATTTTCGGTAGACTTTCCTTTGAAAGATCATCATAAAACCTGGAAAGCACTTCATAGTAGGAAATGCTGAAAATGTACAGAAAATTTAACTTTCTCTTCCTTTATCAAAAATTTAAAAATCTTTAACAATAATTGTTAAAATAATTAATGGGATTACTTCTAATGATCACTTTCAAGATGTATTAAAATATATTTTAAAAAAATGAAAAAAAATAAAAATAAACCTCAGCAAAAGAATAAATAAATGCAAAAGGCGTTTTTTGTTGCCTTCACATAGACTTGGATGATAATATTTCACTATTCGATCCAAAATTAACTTGCATTTTGATGCTGGATGATCATCCAAAAGTTTCCTTAGATCGACATAAGATTTAGGAAAAGGGAACACAAATGGTAGATCATCAACTGTTGAGTTCTCCAGTTCTTAAAAAAAATGATATCATTTTAAATGATGAAAAATTATCATTATCATTAATTCGTTGTTTTTACTTGAGAAATCACCTGTGAACTCATCAGCAATTTCACCATTTTCATTTAGCATCGCATCATAAACTTCGTCACTAGTATGAACATTAGCATTTTCATCATTATTATTAGTCGCTTCTTCATCATCAAATGATTCACCGATCTGAATGACTTTGATTTGAGCTTTTTCAACCTGCAACAAATGAAGAAATTAATATATCAACATTTCATTAATGAAATGAAACAAAAAAATAAAGATAAGTTTTAAGACGAACAATTTAAACTAGAAAATTAATAACCTTATGCGAATCAATTAAATTTCCATCGCTATCATATTTCACTTCAAAATTTGCAGAAAGACGTTTTTCTTTGCCTCGTTTATTCTTCGCCTCTAACTCTAATGAAACAACCTAAAGAAATGGTCAAAATATGAAATTTAAATTTACAACTGATATATCTGAAAAGAAACCATTTAAACCTTTTATTTTATTGATATCCTTACCTCTGGGTCTGACTCAGCCACTCTTGAAAGCCGCCGCTTTTCTAATAGATCAAGCCGCTTTTTCTCTTCGAAAGCAATTTCTTGTTCAGTTTTTATCCTTTCACCAGCAGTTCCACGTTTCTCATTTGATGAACGTAATTCTAGCAACTGGAATAATTATAAATGCCATACTTATGACGTCAGCAACGTTTCAGTGGTGATTCAAAAGATATCAGTAAATAGAGAAATAAAACAAAAAATTCAATATTTGGTCAAAAATAAGAAATCTGAAAAAGATCATACCAGCCTGTCATAATAATCGCTGCTCTGATTGGTGGATTTATTTGCTTTATTTGCGTTCTTTTGTGCCAAATTATTTATTGCACCAGATGCCATTAATTTCCTCCATTTTTCGTCCAATTGTTCAGTCATGTCTTCTATCTCATCGCGCACCAACTGTTTTTCATGTCGCATTTGTTTTGTTTGCATAATTAAATCAGCAATAATATCTTTTCTAGAATAATATCTTTGAAATATATATAATAATTAGCAAATATTTTGCCTTATAGTTTAGAGTCTAAGGTATGAACTGTTTGCCTTCGTAAATCAACAAACAATCCAACATTATTCCATTTAATATGATATTGGGAAAAAAATAAACCAAAATTTACGGCAAAAAATACCAGGATAAAACAAACCTTTTTGAACCTTGATCGAATACATCTTTTTCTACCTTCCCACCACCGAAATGTGCTGCAGTGACAATATCAGAATGGATTTCACCATCTTCTTCCTCATCATCACTAACTGGTCGATCATACTTTTCAATAGATGTCAGTGCTGATCCTTTATGAGTTAGATTAACTTCTTCTGCAAGATGTAACAGCTCTGCACATAAGAATCAATTAGCTTCAAAATATTTTTCGACTATTTTACCCTCTTGGAATTTATCTGAAAACCAAAAAATGTGGAAAGTAACCAATAATCAATAAATACCATCAGCAAGCTGAAATTTATCCGTTTTAAAATGTTTCAATCGTTCCGCTGTGAATCGTCTGATTTGGCGATCTTCTTCGCTAATTTTCCTATCATTTTCTCCAAAACGTTGATCGATTATCTAAATTTTTTTCTGACAATTGAAATCGGCTGAAATTGAAAATAGCGTTAAATGGTGTTAAAATTTCGTACTATTAGCTGAAAGAGATGAAAAATCGATAAATAAATTTATCGATAAAATAAAATATTTTTAAAAATTAAAAATGATTGAATTAAATTAAAACTACTAAAACTACTTAAAACTACTTCTCACAATTTTCCACAGAAATATTTCTAAAATCTACAAATTTCAGGTTGTTACAAATCAAAAAAGAATTCCTTTCTAAAGCAAAAGCAAAAGGCAAGAACGAAATTTGATAAAATCTTAGAAAAAATTTCCTTATAAAAATCTCCTGAAGAATGATACAATAATATAAACTTTTACAGAAACGCTATAAACGCTAAGCAACCTTATTTGTTTTCTTGAGATTTTTCCATTCGGCAGCCAGTATGCGCTGTCTCTTTTCATTTGCCAATTTTTTCGATAGACCAGGTGTTCCTACGTGTAAATTTTGTTTTTTCTCATCCAATACCTTAATCGAATCATAGCAAAAAAAAAAATTAATTCGCAACAAAAAATAATTATTTAAAATCATTTAATCATTTAATATAATAATAAAATCATTTTCTAATTTATTTCAAATTTTTTGAATTTCAAATGGCTGCATTCATCGAAAAAAGTCTACAGAAAAAATAAAAATCGGATAGTGAAAGCATATGTGAAGCCTATCAAGCCTAAGCCTTAAACCACTGAAATTAATTATTCAATGAAAATATAAAATAATTCGAGATAAATAATTCTGACGCAGTCATTTGTATTTTCAATTAATAATTATAACAATTCACTTACCGCGCGTTTTACTCTGTTAAATTTTAGATCAAAAGGATTGATTTTCTTCGTTACTGGTTCTTGGTTAGCTTTTTTGCTCACTTTGCTTTGCTTTGTTTTCCTGGATTTTTTGCTCTTCATCGTTTTCCTGAAAAAAAAGCTTAAACATATACCAGTTTTCCAAAAAAATCGCACATTTTTTATCTACAGTTGAAAGTAACGGACTGAAACAAATTCAATCATTTCCAAATTCCTCCATTTATAACTATAGTTGAAAAAATTATAAAATTATTAAAGATAATAAAGATCAATAGATAATATCAAAAAATCTATCAATAATCTATCAAAATCTATCAAAATATAATATCAAAATAGATAATATCAATAATACCGGATATACCCAAGCATATTAATTTTTTATTCATTACAGAGAAAATTTATTCAGTAATGAAAATTAAATGAGAAGAAAAGCAAATAAAATACATTATACGTACAATATAAATATTTCCAGAACATATTTCAACAGCAAGATGGACATATTTGAAGAGAATCGTGTAAAATGAGATCACAATCAATGCAAAACGTTGCATGACATTCTTTACATGAAAAACCCTTTACTTCAACTGTTTTCGCACACGCAAAACATGTCCTGTAAAAATTTCAATGAATATTTCATCAAATGTTTGAAAGAAATCATCTTTTTGCAAAAATTATTATGTATACAAAATCTATAACTCACTCGGAAGTTATGTCCACTTCTTCAAATGCTGGTAATGGCATAAGGTGTTGAAAAGAACGAGCAAGCTGCGGTGCTGATATAAGGGTCAGTCTGCAAACTCGGCATTCGATTGGCAAGCTACAATATCGAGCACCACACTGAGGACAAAAAAAACCACGACCAAAAGGCGTCGCTGCCTCCGACTGATGGCTAAAAATATTCAAAATATGGTTTAAAGTGGCTAAAAATAATTATATACATATGTAAATAATGTTAACCATATCTACTGTGAAACTATAGTATATCAGCTATATATATATATATATAATATTCAAGAAAAAATAACTCATTGTAAGATTCCTACAATGAATATCCGTGAGACCTAAAGTGATAACTAATATTCAATAAATAATTAAAATCATAATAATTTCCATATAGAAGTGCAAAGAACATGTTAATGAATTAAAGAACATGTTAATGCATACTAAGAATTTAAGCTATAAGCACAATTAAAATAAATACTAACCATAAACAAAACGAAGGAACTTTAACAATTTCGTGAAATGGAAATCCCATGCGTATTACGCTGCTTTCTGCATTTTTTCTTACTATAGGAGGTATTGTATGATCATTAATTACAGTTTCAAAGTGAACTTTATCCATGATCACATTGTGACGACCTGCAATTGAATTTAAATGATTTAGCTCAATGAATCAGAAATGAATTGTTTAACCAAAATCTTCCCACAATTATAATATCAGATAAATTTATTAGTATAAAACAAAATAAAAAATATATAAATGAAATAAATTCGTTGAAAAATACCACCTGAAGTTATCGAACAAAGTTTCTTAAAAATGAAAACTTCGGCAGCGAGTGAAATAACAGAACACCGTATATTGTATCGCTTTAACAACTAAAAATATAGAATATGGAAATATATTCAATTATTACCAACTGGAAACATTAGTTCGTAATATTGAATGGAACCAAAAATCATTAACAGAAGTCTTAAATTATGCAAATATGAAAAGAAATGCTTAATTCAAAAGAAAAAGTAATTTCAAAAAAAGAAAATCAAAGAAAAACAAAGAAATCAAACTTCAATTGTACTGAAAATATTGCACGGATCACATGTAGAAAGACTTGCGACCACTACTAAAATTTCGCGGCTAGCATGACCAGGATAATCGCTAAAAAAATTGACCTAAATTGCTTGACGACATTTATATTTTTCAATTTATATTTTTCAAAAACAACAAACAAATATGAACGAAATATTAAAAAATTAAATTCACTATAAAAAGCTTTCAAACATTAGAAAAGACAAAAGGAACAAACCGTAAACTCTTCATAGCAATCATCAAACTATTATGCAAAGAAAATTCTCCGTAACAAAAGGCTTCAGAAAGAATCGTCAGGCCCTCTTTAACAATACGAATATTACCTAAGAAAATCCAATTAAATTATCGAGTTTTACTGAAAGTTTACGATGGAGATAATGCTGCCCACAATAGAAATTAATATAAATTAAGTCTGCTCACGAAATAACTATATCAGATGAAAATGGCCTATTTAGCCTATTTATTTATTAAAACATTTAGCATAAAAAAATTAACAAAAAAATTGAATGATTAGGTTAATTACCTGTTAAAGGCACTAATTTTTCCGCTCGTTTGTCTTTACAAACAATAACACCCGTTTGTGATATAGGATTTTGTTCAGAAAATTTCTCTAGAAATTGATTAAGTACCTGTAAAATATCCTTAAAATCATTTCTGCTAAAATTGTTTCTGAATCAGAATAAATCTATAATCCTTCATCTGAATTTCTTATTCATTTTTTTGGTATTTTCTAAGAGCGCTCATCATTTCTCATTAGATTTACTCTGCTAGCTTATCGGACCGAATAAATTTTGTCGGAGAGTGTCTCAGTGAAGGAAATATAGGTAAACTATTAGTATCGGTGTATTAAAATGAAAGCAATAAAAAAATTAGTTATCAAAAAATTTTAAAAAAGATATTAAAGAAATTTTGAGGAAGTTTTAAATCAACATAAAAATTAAATTCTTATAATCGAATTTTCTCTCGCGGAAAAGAAAAGTTTGAAAAAAAATATTTAAAAATTTCGTAAATTTCTTAAAATATATCTAAAAATATATTTAAAAATAAAAACATCTTAAAACTTAAAAAAAATTCACCTTAGTTGTTACCATAATTCGCGAAGGAAATAGTGATTTATCAGTCATTGCTTGTGAGCAATCAATTATTATATATAAATATCGAATCTGAAAATAATTAATGAATAATTTCATAAAAATATTTTAAGAAAAAAATTTTAAATAATAAAATTTTAAAAAAATTTTAAACAAAATAAATAGTGAAAATAATAAAATAAATAATAAATAAAAAATAATAAACAATAATAAATAAAAAAAACCCCACAATGCCAAGTCGAACATTGGCTGGTCGATCGCGAAAACGTTTTTTAAGTTTTTCATCCAAAATTAATTTCGCTACAGCTTTTTCAATTGAACCACTTTCATCTTCTTTTAGCACTTCGCGAATATTAAGCGCTTTAAATAAATTAAATTATAATATTATAATATTAAAAATCAATAAAATTAATAAAATTTCGAAATTAATTTAATAGATTTTTAAATCTATGAGAAAAAAGATAAAAAAATTTTCAAAAAAAAAATAATAAATAGAAGAAATAAAAATAATAAAAAATAATGAAACCATCAGCATAAGCAGTTTCCCAAGTATACGCTTTTTGCTCATCGTCTTCGTTCATTCCATATAATAAAATTTATTATTGTTTTATATAACTGAAATAAAAAATAAATAAATAAATATTTTTTCTGTAATTTTTCTGTAATTTTTATTATTGGAAAATATTGAAAATATTAATATTAATTTATTAATATTAATTATTATTATATTAATTAATTATTAATTCAAATATTAATATTATATTTTAATTCTCTTTTAATGATAGTACAAGAAAAAATGAAAATAATAAAGGTATTGTAATTTTAAAGAAGAGCTTCTCTTCTATTTAAAATCATCTTTCTTACCATTCATAAAACCAATTATAATAGAAATTATCCGGAAAAAGGAAAAAATAATCCAGGAAATTAAAAAAACCCATGAAAATTCAAAAGAATCCAAACAATTCCGGCTTCGACTGATTATTAAAAATATGCTAAATGTCAAACGCAGACTTCATCAACAGCCAATTGTTAATAATTTAAATTATAAGGAGCAATAATTTAGTTTTATATTTGCTTGACAAAGGAAGTAGGTGAGGTGGTGGTTGGGGGGGGGGGGCTTAAAAAATTCTGTAAGCATAGTTTAGAATGGCTCAGTTGACTGTTACTCTTATTCCGCAGCACTGATTTCGGAGTTCCATTCTCGGCGGGGCAAACCTATTTTTTTCTTTATGACGCTAGTGATAATTTTTTTGACGAATTTCTGGTAAATTTTGTGTGATTGGATAATTTCTTATCATGATGAATCATTAATATCAGCTGGCTTGTTGTTGCATTATATTTATTTCAGGAAAATTAACGGGACGAAGACGGTAGGAACGAGACAAAGATAAGACAGTTGTCTTTAAGCCTCTGTCTAGATTTCTCAAAATGGCGAAAAAAGCTGTAAATATGAGCAAATCATACGGATTCCCGCCCATCTTAAATTAAATATAAGTTCCCACAAGATCATTTTTGGTCATTTTGTGCTTCTATTAGGGGAAACGAGTGAGGGAGCGGTCGGTGAACGATGGGCATTTAGATCTTATATTTGATTTTACTTTACTGTATTATTTCTTCGTAGTAGATCAGTTGTTTTCTTCGCTTTGTTTTCTTGTATATATTTGCGTCTCTACTAATAAAGGTTTAAATTACCCAATTTTGAGGTTCACAACGAGAAAAGTAAGAAGAGAACGTTGGCCGCAGACTTTATAATATTATTAAGTCCCGTGTGGTAGGGAAGTTGTTAAATCTATACAGAAAAAAACAGTGGAGCGGATTCCCAACAGGAATTTTGTAAAGAAAGACACTGGAAGTGGGAATCGCCGAGTTCCCAACGAAAATTTCATAGCGCTATATACCTTTTTTTATGTACATTTATTATGCCCACTCAAAGCCTATTCACTTGAATCCTATTCTCTGGAATCAGTTGCCAGTAATTCGCATTGGAGTCTTTACGAAAGTGCTATACGAAGGAAATTTAAGAAACCGAACGGAAATGAGTAATGTTCAAGAATCAACTGAATCCTAAGGATCAGGCATTGTGGTTAAAAAATGTAACCTGATATACGTCGATAAAATGCTTCAGTGAGTTGTACTTCTTTGAACTATCATCACATCAAGACACCATTCTGTCAACTCAATCGAAGTAGTATCAAAACCATTGAAAAATGTGACTATGTGTTGATGATGTTTAAAGCGCTGTTCCAACAAGTTCCAACAATCTTTTTTTTTAAAGAGTCCTCACCATTACTGATTAAACTCGCTCCACTGGCTTGTGTCAATTGGGCAATATGCCAGGAAGTCCTTTGGCGATAGAAATACAGTTGAGTCGCCAGTATCACACGGATATTCGTACTGCCTTCTTAACATAAATATTAAATCAACGCACCAAGGTTCACTTCTGCCTAGCTGTGGTCTATTATATGGTTTGACCACACAATTGAAGCTATAAAAAAGTTGTTTGCTTTCGGACATTTTTCTTTAAGACGCATCCTATAAAACGAACAGAGTCATAATTGCGTCTACATTATTTTCAAAACATTGCATTTAGATAAGTAGTAATTAGTAGCCACCATTTCTGGTCAGGTTAACTCCTTAGAAATCTTTCCCAGAGTACTTGAAAGTAGAGATATTGGTGGGTACCAACACTGGGTACCAACATCACTGTGAATTTTCATGGATAAATTCACTTCTGCATGGATCCTCTGTATTTTCGACGCAAATTAAAGCAACCATTCGACTATTAAATTTATTAGAAGATAATGATAATTAATGATAATGGTGATGGTAGTTTCTTTATTAGTTGATTTGTATAAAAAACTTTTCCTATATTTTTTAAATAGATTTCATATGAAAAATGAAAGTTTTTTCATTAGTTTTTTTGAAATAATTTATATAATAATTCAATAAAATATTTTTAAAACGAACGAATTATTTTAAATACTATTATTTATAAAAAACAAAATATTTCAAAGTTTTAATCATATAAATTAGATCGCAAATCCTGAATTAAATTTTCTCTCATTTTATTGAACCGAAAAAAATACTATTAGAAAACTGAAGACCAACGATAGAGGTTTAGGGGAGAGTACTCTAACCTACTCAGATTACTACTCAGCAATACTAGTAACAGCAATACATAGATTTTTGACAGACTCATTCTCGACAAGAATGATGCGAACCCCAATATCCGCGCTCTTAAATAATAGCAATAACTCACTGCGCCATTCTCAACGAGTCCAAAATTAGTAAAAGTGGAAAATATAAGAGATTTTATTTTGTTGAAAATGAATAAATTCAGCGAATACTCGTTAAAAATATAAAAATATTAGAGAATATATAATATATTATTATTAATAATATTATATAATATTAAAAATTAGAGAATTTAGTCGAAGAAAAAAAATTCGATAAAAAGAAACAAATGAAAGAAAAACGTAAAAATTTCTTCCAAATATTATATATATATTGAAAAATTTTCTCGTTCTATGGAAATAGTTAAACGAATTGATGTGGATTGATGGATGCTTTTTCTCTAAAAATAATCAACAACATCTCTAGTTGAGAATCGATAAAATCTTTTAAGGCAAGCAAGAATTTTTATATGAAATGGAACGCATGTCGAGAGTTGTTGTACGTTTTTTAGGTCGCGAATATCCTCGCGATCTTCTCATTTCACGCCTTTTCTATCTTTGCTTTTTCGCTTCATTTGGATCACTTTTTCCACTTCTCGCTATTTATTTCAAGCAATTAGGTATGAATGCAACACAAGCGGGAATTTTACTCGGTATTCGACCAATTGTCGAATTTACTGCACGTCCATTTTGGAGTAGTTTTGCAGATCGCTTTCGTAAGGTATATATACGTATAAATATTAAATATTAAATATTTTTTATTTATATTTAATAATGATTTAGCTAAATATTGAATGGAACTAATAATAGTGTAAACTAATAAAGGCTGTTAGAAAAAGAAAAATAGAATTTTTTTTTTTAACCACACGCATTATTTCTAATTAGAATATCGTTATCATGTCCCTAGTGATTAGTGTTGATTAGATTAGACATTCATTTATCATTCATTCATTCAGTTATCATTATTATCATCTTCTTCGGTTCTTCTTCGGAAAAAGAAAAATGTATTGAAATGTATTTAAAATGTATTGTTTTAAATGTAATTTATTAGATAATGCAATTAAAATAAAAGTTTTCCTATGAATCTATTGGATATAATAATATTTATTGAAGAAAAAAAAAGCTATTATCTGATCCGTAGGGGAATTTCGTTTTATTTCATTAAATTTAAATTGCTTCAATAGCATATAAAAATTTTTTCATCGAATCCTTCCTTACAAATAATAAATATTTCATATTTGAAAAATTAAATTTTTTTTCAAGATTATTTATTTATTAAAAAGGATAAGACAATTTTTCTCAGAGGTCCTTTTGGTTTGGTTCCATGCAATATTGTAATTTTTTTGATGACAATTTTATCCGTATGAAAGGCAATGAACTGCTAAATTTTATTTTGAAATAATCTAGACAATATATATTCTATCAAAATTAGCCAATCCTGTTGAAACAATATTAATTTTGATAAAATGTTTTTTTTTTACAATAATAATAATATTTAATAATACAATAATAATAATATTTTATAATAATACAATAATAATAATATTTTACAATAATAATATTTTTTACAATAATAATATCTCTTTTTATTTTACAATAAATTATACGAAAATTTAATGAAAAATAAAAATACAAACGAAAAAATATAAATCTTAATCCTATTCTTAACCCGTAATTTCTTCTCTTCTTTCCTTTGTCAGAATTCAATTCAACATTACTAGTTGGATTGGTTCTACTGATAGCACAGCATAATGTCACAGAATCTCTTGCGAATATAATTATTATCACTCGAATTTAAATTTTTATGAATGGTTTTTCCTCTTATCAACGAGAATGAAACGGAACCCAACTTCATGTTTGCTTCATATTATTCGAAGTTGAAACAACTCAACAAACCCTTCTCGAAATAAACTATAATTTTAAATGGAACTTAATCGGCAATTAATTAATGCATATTAACCTTCTCTAAAAATTCTGTAATAAACTGTTTATACTTTTTAAAAATTTCTTCCTTAAAAATTTATTCCCAATTCGTTAAAAATTGATAATAATTGATAATAGATAAGACTAATGAGGAAGAATAAATTTATTCTGAATTCCTTAAAAACTGATAATAATTGATAATAGATAAGACTAATGAGGAGGAATAAATATCATAGAAAATTATGAATCAAATCCCCTATAAAGAAAATTTATATTTATAATTTATATTTAAAATTTATATAATTTAAAAATTCATTTATTTTCGCAGTAAATTGTCAAATTCCCACATATCGAAAATTTTTAAGAGTCTTTTGCAATGGTCTATGCCACATAAGCGTATTAAAAATTCGAAATTTTTGAAGATATTCTCATGAAACTTAGATTTTACTCAGTTTTTTTAAAAAAAAAATGAAATAGACTTATAGAAGTAAAGTAAATCTCCCCGAGATTCTCGAGGATTTTCAATTTTCATTCCGAGTCTTCTAGGATAATAAAATAGATATTCTATCAAATTTATTATCAAATTTATCTATTTATTATCAAATTTATCAAAGTTATCATTAAATTTGAATAATTTTCTTTTAGGGCAAATTATTGCTAATGTTCTCGTTAGCATCTTTTATCGTATCGATATTAGCGATTGGTTTCGTACAACCGTTAACTCCATATTGTGTTGTAAAACCTATAAATTCAACAAATGGATGCTTTTATTTGGAACAAGCAAGTCAAATCGTTCGAGGTGGTGCACTTGGATATTTGAAGGAAGCGGCTGGAATCGGAAGAAAGAAACGACAAGCATCACGTTAGCTAAATTCTTTTAAAATTAATATATATATATATATATAATTAAATTCTATGATTTATAACTTTTAAGAAAAGAATTGAATAAATTTATCATTGGGCATATATTGGTGTCTTAAAGAGGAAATTACAGATCGGGTCGTTCAGAAATTGCATACAAAAAAATCTAGCCATCTAGCAATTTTCAATAATTTTTATCAATGTGATATCGTAGTGATTAATTTCTCTATTTGCAGAAATATTCGATACAGTAGTCGATCTAAGTTCATATGATAAGGAACGTGACACGGTACCTGGGATCGCTCCGGAACTAATCACCAAAGATAAAGTACCATATATAGACATCATTAAATTGCATTAACTATTATATTAAATGACTATGTATAGCATTTAGCATTCATCGATGGTCAAATTAATTTTTTCTCCGTATGATTTTTCAAAAAAAAAAAACTAGTAACTAGATGGTTTTTTCACTAGTTTTTCAACTGTTGAAGGCAACTTCGTTAATTTTAGTGGTTCGCTAAGAATACTTGGTGTATTTTTACAGAATTATCACCTTTATCAGCATATTTTCATCAAAAAGAATTTATAGATATGCAATTATGATGAAGCAATTTATGGTGTTCTAGTGAGTCCACCACATAGTACAAGAGTATATCGTAAGCCAGCTGTTGAACAGGTTCATTATTTCCGATAAAAATTATACAAAACTTAAAATGTGGATTATAAAGGTATATTTTGAAGGTATAAAGCTTATCTGCAGGTATTTCTTCTCTTATTTTTACTTGTCATATTGGGCGAATTCTTCAGTTCACCTGGTCTTGCATTAGCCGATAGTGTTATATTGTCGTATGTTGCTGACGAGCCTAAAAAGGTTTTTTTTTGAAATAATAAATAATTTCTAATTAAGAGATGGGTTCGGAAGATGAGAAATGCACATGCACATGCAAACATACACATTCACATGCATATACATATATCAGCGCTACGAATGTAGAATAGCAGAATAACCAACTCGTTTAGATTAGAGCCTTAAGACAGGACCCAAATCTTGATTCCGATAGTAATAAATCTGTTACTAAAAATTCGAGATGACCAACCTATACATAGCAAGCAATGCACCAGCGGAAATTTTTGCCCGCACTGCTAACAGGTGGAAAAAGTCTCTAACCAGAAATGAATGATAATATTAATGATAATATGATAATATTCATAATATATCCACCATAAACAAAAGGATGGTGGGTCTCTTTAATCTTTTTCTCAGCTCCACCGGAAAATCAGTTCTTCCCTATTTTAGTTTGGCTTAATTCGACTATGTGGAAGTATCGGATGGGGCTTGGCAATGTTTATAATGGGCATTGGATTGGACTATTCAGAAACGTTTCATAATCATCCATGTCCAACAAAAAATACAACTGAGAAAAATTACATACTTTGCTTTGTTACTTGTTCACTTTTCATGGTAGCAGCTATGCTTATTGGTAATAATTTTTAGAATTTTTAATAGAATTTATAATTTTAAATTTTAAATTTATAATTTTTATTTAAAAATTTTAATGAAATTTTATAAATGAAAAAAAAGATTTTATATAAAAATCATAAAATTATTATTATCATTAATTAATTTGTAAAAATTAATTAAATTCATAAAATATGCAAAATCACATAATCGTCAAAATTACATAATCATTTAATTTTTTTAATTTTATTTTTTTAGCGACACAATTTCGATTTGGCTCGGAGCAACGTCCAGATGAAGCAGCTTGTGCGGTTATTGAGACGAGGAATGATGAAGTATCAGCGGCTGTCGCTGAAAAAGCTAGAACAAAACAAATACAGGTATATTCTAATTCAAATAAATAAACGATTTCAGATACTTGTTCGAAAAATCCAGATAATAATAGGGAATTATATTAGGAAAATAATTAGGAAATGAACTAAATCAAAAAAATAGCTCAGTTAGCTATTGCTATCATATCAGTGCGCCAGTATTAGGGTTCTAACACCAGCTGAAGCAAGCTTAAATTTTAAAAATCTGAGTAGTGCTAACGACCAATTTCTATCGGTAAATAACTCCTTGGCAAAATTAATCTGATCTGACCCAGTGAAGTAAGCCTAATAGAGAGCGCTCTTAGGTAAAAATTTACTTTGTAAAACTGCTCGAAGCCAGTTGAATTTAAGTACACCCAATAAACTCACTCATTATTCTGGTCTGATGATCTGGTGATCTGGTGAGCTAGCGAGCTTATGATCTAGCTGAGGTATCATTCGTCTCTACTTTTCGTAATAGGTGTGTTCCGTCAAAGGAAGATTCTCCCAATTCTCCCATCATGTTTGCCCCTTAATCGAAGTAATATACGATTCGGCTATGCTGCTTAATAAATATTCATTTTTGCAATTTCATTTATTTTTTAATAATTAATTATAGACTGAACATTCGGAAGGATCCTTATTGCTGGCAACAATAAAAATGTTGATCCATGGCCACGCAGCTGTTTATTTACTATCGGTAACAACCATTGGATTTGGTGCAGGAATAATTTTTACATTTCTTTTCTGGCACCTTCAAGTATCATTTGTTATCACATTTATTTTTCGCTTAATTTTACATCTTCTTTATATTTATTTTTTTCGCCCATGATTCTTATTTATTTATTATAGATCTATGGATTTGAATTGTAAGCTAATCTTGTTAATTTATTTGAACCCAATTCAGCACCTCATATTCACCAACTCAAACCTATTGAAAACAAGAATGCCCATAATTTTTTTATAATATATGCGTATGAAATATAAATTCATGTATTAAGGATTTATTAAGGACTTATTAAGGACTTTGGTGGATCACCAATTCTTTTTGGAGTAGCATCGGTGATCAATCATGGATCAGAAATTGCTGCTTATTTTTATTGCTTTCAATTTATAAACAAATTCGGACATGTTAAAGTATATTATAATTTATTTTTATCTTATCATTCTCTTTATTATTTAATCGATAATATTGGCTTGTTTTTTTTAAAATATTAATTGTATTTTAGATAATGTACATATGCTTAGCTGCCAATGTTATTCGCTTTTTTGTCATCAGCTTACTAACAAATCCTTGGATGGTACTTCCTTTCCAAGCGATGCAAGGTTAATCAAAATTAATTTTAATTGCCTTTTAGTGATAGAATATGATAGTCACCTAGCATAAGCGAGTTGCTCGGATTTCGATTTTCGGCCAATATACCATATAAATATTTGAGAATAAAAATGAAATTATCACCAAATTTACTATAAATCTAGATAATACAAAAAAATATAAAAATATAAAAAGATATAAATATAGAAATATAAAAAAAAAAAATAATTTTTATGAATTTTTCCACAAAGAAATTCTAAATTTTCTAAATTATTTCTAAATTTCTTAGATTCCTTTTTAATGTTACTTTTGGTATTATTTTCTTATACTATATAATTTTTTATATTTTTTTATTTCACGAATAATTATAAAAAATATCAACAAAATTTCAGAAAAATTTTATTAAAATTATTAAGATTATTAAAATTAAAATTAAAATTATTCGTAATAATCATTTTAATTTTAATTAGTTATAATTATTTTAATTAAATTATTAAAATTATTATTAATTAAATTATTAAAATTATTATTTTATTAAAATTATTATTAATTTTATTATTATTTTATTAAAATTATTAAATTTAATTTTATTAAAATTTATAAAAATTTTCTTTTAAATTTTTAAATTAAATTTTATTAATTTTATCAAATTATATTAAAAATTTTATTTTATTTTATTATTTTTAATTTTATTTCAGGAGTTACATTAGCAACAGTTTGGGCATCCGCATCGTCGTATATCTCACTAATTGCTCCATCACAACTAAAAACGACTGCTTTAACAATACTTATGGTCTTATATCATGGTATTGGCAAAGGCTTTGGCAGTATTATCGGTGGCTTCATTATTGCAAATGTTGGTAAGTAAGTTGAATGCCCCTTGGAATTGGCTAAACAATTATTCTATAATTATCAGGCATATAATAAATATTTTATATATATGCACCCCGTCTAATAAACGAAAATTTCAGGAACACGAACAATGTTCCAACTCTATTCAATAATAGCAATTCTTGTATTAGGTATTAATTACGGCCTCAATCGAATGTTTAATTACGGCGGTTTTAAATATAGCCAGAATGCTTTCGAAGACGATGAATTGCCTGGGGCATTAGGTGTGTCGATTTTAGCTTAAATTTTTATGGCTTTAAACTATTATGCTTTTATTAAGCATTTCAATTCTCATAGCTTGTTAATTTCAGTTAATTTCGGTGCAAATAATTTCATAGGTTCATATGAAATCACTAATATGTAATATTTGGGATGGCTCAGTGGGTTGTAATGCTCAATTCAAAGCGCTCAGATTCTAGTAACCGCAGGAGTAAATCCGTCCAAAAATTCGGATGATATTAGTGAATTCACCTGTACTTCTAGCAATAGAGGACTTCCTGGTATATCTAGTGCATTAAGCCAGAGGAGCAAGCTTAACCAGTAATGGTGAGGGCTCTTAAAAATATATATATATATATAATTATGAAAAGTTGTGAAATTAAGTACGTAAATTAGAAATTTATTGTGGGTGCGCATTAGATAGTGGTTTTTTGGTTCATCGTGCTAAGAGGCAACTTATCACTAATCGCAGAAACCAGTTTTTAAAAATTCGAATAATGAAAGTGACCCACTTCCAGCCAAATAGCTCCCTGGTGAAAATTTCTAATCGTTTGATCACCAGCCAGTGGTAACTAAACAGAAATGCTTATCGCCTATTTTTCATTAATTACATTTACTAAAATAGAAGAACGGAAAGATTTGAATAATCTATGAAATTATTCGCATGTCCTAGGCCAATTTTGAATTTTGAATAAGTATCCCTCAATTTTTAAAATTAATCCACTTCATTTTATAGCTCCACAAGGAATTCCATTGCACCATGGTGAGAGTAAACTAATCGATGCATTTAATCAAACAACGGTAGCAAATACGAATTATGGTACAATAACGACCGAGGATCCGACGCAAGAAGCCTATGACCGATACGTTAAAAACCCATATGATTAGTTGTTACCGAAATTTTAGACTATAAAGTTCTCGAATTACTAAACTAATTATCATGGTGAATTTCAATTTTTATTCAAAATCAACAGTTCCTATGGTGAAATATTTATTTTTTAATTCATTTAGTTTTTTCACTTGATTCTTTATTTATTTATTCATATAAGGAAAATTTTGAGTTCTGTTCCTTTCATTCAATTATTTGGTGAAAAAATTACAACAAAAAACGAGTTACCAACAATTTATCGAATCATAGAAATATAATCATAAATATTATCTCTACAATATAGAGTGATATTTTTAAGAATATCATTTGGTTGATAAAAGAAATGGAACGGTACTAAACGAAAATTTGTTCAGATTTAGATTTTGCTTTTTTAGACAATTTTATATGAAAATCATATTTCATGGAAGAGCAATAAATTTTCGATTAGAAATCTATACAATAAAAATTTCATGAGCACACCAATGATAAAAATAAATTATCAATCATCAATTAAAATTATCAGTTTATCAAAAATAAATTATCAGCTATCAATTAAAGTTCTCCAAAAAAATTATATTGTTGATAATCTCAATATTTACAAAATTTTACAAGGTTGGTTCCATTCAGTTAAGAATTTATTCTAATATTAATTGTTATAAAAAATAATAAGTTAAAATTTTCTTGGATCACCTATAAGTTAAAATAAAGGCATAAATAGCTCATAAATAATCCAATAAAAAACTTAAAAATTTTATAGCTTCAATTTTGCCTCATTTAATGGCAAAAAAATGCTTTAAGGTAGAAACATTTCAAACATTTCAAATTATTTAAATACAATATTCGTTCGATTATATGCGAATGCAAATATATTCCAAGAAGCATCCATGAAGAAATTTGAGAAATAAAAATTAAGGCATTAATTTAATTATTGCCAAAAAAAAACCCACTACTTTGACATGGATATGTGATTTTTATCGATCCATCGAAAGTCGTTCTTGTCGTTCATTGCTGCCACTCCAATGGTTCTCCAATGGCATTCCAGACCATTACTACGAAATAAATAATACAAATGCCTCTCTATCAATAAAAAGCTCAATAAATTGGTTAAAAATAAAAAACAAAAATGAGCAAATAAACTACAAAAAAAAATAAACTGCAAAACATGCCTCTACTTTTCTATTTTACTAGTAGTCAATTTCACCGCAGAAAAAGGACTTATAATACAGAGAGGATTAATAGAAAATGGAAAATTTTCGAAATTTTGGCACCGCTAGTATTTTTTGTCAGAAATTCAATAGGTAATTAAAGCATAAATATATCACCAATTTTCTTCTTAGGATCGGAGAATTGAACCCTCTGGAACAGATCAAAAACAACCACACGACTCGATCAAAATCTTATCCAATCTCAAACATAAACTCTAATCGAAATATAAGCAACAAAAAATTATAAAGCATCAGATTTGCCTTAAATAACTTTTCAACAAAGAATTTAACTTCAAAAAAACGATAAAATTATAAAATTTTTAAAACGATAAAAGACAAAGAGATCAAACAACAAAAATAAGAGGCACTGAAGCATAAATATTTAAACTTTAATAATTATTATCAACCTAGCTAAATTTCTACAAAGAAATAATGAAATTTTCATTACAAATCGATTAAGTATTTTTCATAAATGAAATAAAATAATGCGAAAATTATAAATCACGAAAAAAAGGCTCACAGTATTGAGATTCAAATAATAAGCATTTAACCATTAAGTGATAATATGAAGTGAAAAACCTAATGAATAAAAATCTATAAATATTATATATATAAATAAATATAATAAACATTTCAGTATTATCAATATTATTATCAAATTATCAAAATGTATAATCTTTTGATTTCATTTTCTTCGTTGGACAATCAGCAGTATTATGTAAAAATGCTAAAAAATAAAAAACAAAGATTCACCAATAAATAAATAAAAATAAAGAACAAATTGTGAATTAGAAATTTGCTTCAATTTGTTGTCAGCCTTTGGTAATTCACTTCATTCTTACAAGTTATTTCACTAATAATTCTTAGTTGAAAAATTAATTAATGTGATTCGACAAATTATAAATAATTCAAGAAATATTTCGTCGAAAAAATGTATTTCCGTGTTTCATTTCTTTTTCATCACTTTTTTAAAATTATTTTATTTTTAATCGATTAGAAATACTTTTCATTAAAACCACAAACCTTCACATATATCACAATAAGGCCTTGGTTCTTGCTGTCTTCTGTTGTGGTGAGAATGAGATTCATATTCAATTATGTCCATTTGTTGAGCGGGACAATCTGTGGTATCATGAACATCGAAAACTTCACAAATGTCGCAATATAATCGTGGAGGACGTTCCGTTTTACTTCTTGAATGGAGTTCATTCAAACTAAAAGAGACAAAATGAATAATTTAATCATCAACGTAATCATTTCAAATATTTCTAACAAAAATTTTCCGAGATAATATAAATATTTAATTAATGAATTAAATGAATTAATTAATGAATTGAAAATGTTTAGTGGAGATGATGAGAATTGCACAGCAAAAGATATACGTTTCTGTCGCTGGAATCTGATTTAAAATATCGATCTGTCGTTTTAATTCCGATTCTTTCGACTGTTGCGAGGCGATAATCGAATTAAGAAAGTTTATCTGAATGTTTTGATTGGGAATAATCAAAGTAAGGAGAATATTTTATCATTTTTTTTGCAGATTAGATAGCGAATTACTCGAAAAATTTAATAAAAATATTTGTGGATTGAATAATACAAGTGAACAATTGCAACAAATCTATTCAATTCACCTGAACGCTTAATTCTTCAATCGTTTCGTTATCAGTTTTATTTGCTTTAATTCTTAATTCTTCGATCATTTCTTGATATTTTTTCTCTTTTTCTTTCCATTCTTCATCTAATTCGTAAATCAAAGAACTGAAATGTAAAAAAATAAAATAAAAATAAAACAAAGATAAAAATATTAGAAAAATTTATCATTTTCATCTAAATACTAATCCAATAATACCAATAATTACCCAATAATTCATTTCCCACAAGCAGTAAAAACATAAAAAATAAAATCAGTAATAATGATAATTTGTTAAAATGAGTTTCTTTTTAAAAAGTTTATCGAAATTCAATAAAATATAATGACATACTTGAATTTTTCTGCTTCAGAAATCACAATTTCATCTTCCACTTTAGCTTTTTCGAGTAACATTACCTTCAAAAAATGATTATTTATTAACGCTGAAATGAAGATAATGAAAAAAAATTGAGATTAAGATTGAAATTCAGTAAAATTGAAAATAAGCCGCTAAAAAAGGGATATCGTTAATTCCATAATTCGAATATTCAAATGCATAAATTTGGAAAAAAAATTAACCTTATTTTTTAAAAGAATCAATTCGTTCTCCACATTCTCTTTTCCTTCTTTTAATACATTATTTTCATCTCGCAACTTCGCTAGTTGTCGCTCAACAGCTGATTGATTCTGCATTAAGCAAACTGGATTTAATTCCAACTATGGAAAAATAATACCTTACAATCAATAGATATTAAAACAAGCCATTATTAACTATTATTATTGGTATTTTGTTTACCTGATTGTGAGTCGAAAATTGCATTTTCAACATCTCCAATTCAGTTTTGCTTCTATAAAAAAATAAATTTACAGTAATATGTGGGAAATAATTTAAAATCAATATCCGAAATCCATAAAAAATTACTCGTCATATAATTTTTGAACAGATGAAAATTTTGTTTGCAAATTTTCGAAATCAATTAAACAGTTAGCCAGGTCATTCGATATCGCTGCATTATCGGCTTTCAGGACCTCAACCTAAAAAAATGGTAAAGAAGTATCATTGAAAATGCAAAGGGAAAAAATGATGAAATAATGTGGAAGAATAATGAATGGCATTACCTCGCCGCAATCTGTAAGTAATTGCTTTTTTTCTTCATTCATTTGTTGAATAACCTTTTTAAACCCTTCAGTATCCTCATTTAATTGCGAAATGGTATTCAACAATCTTAAAATTAAAGTGAAAAAATTATTACAAATAATTATATAATAAATATTATATTTTTCTCAGTTTACTAAATCAGAATACTTATAATAATACTTTGATTCCATCCAAATTTTCTTAAAATGAATTCAACATATTAAATTAAATCTGAAACATGATTAAATCTTATTTAATTTAATCGTGTTTATTTCTTTCTTTCAGCTAAATGAATAAATAAATAAACAAATAAAAACTTCAATTCAATTAATTATAATTTTATCAACAAAGAAAACTTGATAAAAATTTGTTTGTTTGAACAAAAAAATATTAAAAAAATTACTTTTAAAATCAACTATATTAAATGAAAAACATACGATTTTTTTTCATTTTGCAGCTGCAAAAGGCTATCATTTAACTCTAATTTCAAATTATCTGATGATTTAATAGAAGAAATAGTTTCAGCTTGACATAATTTAATCTAAAAATGAAATATTCCGAATAAAATAATTCTTGAAACTTTGAATAATAAAGAAGAATAAAGATACGTGAAGAATCAAGGTGAAGCCTCCAGATTATGTACTTCAGAAAAGATATCTAGACTTGAAAAAAATGAAGAATTCAAAGATTCATGCAAATATCGCTTTTTTATTACACTATTAGTTTTCAAAAATTATTGCGCTCGACTAAAATTAACCTTTTCCAACTCCGCAGATAACGAATTAGTCTGCTGTTTCAGCCTGAAAATTTTTTGAATATCAGGAGAAAGATAATAATAAATATATGCGAACTATTTTTATAAAAGATAAACCAACTTTTCTTCACTGGCATTTAAAATTTTCAAATTTTCATCACGTTGTTTCACCTCAGATATAAGAATTTCATTATTTGCAGTCATTTGCGCGAGTTGTTGCTCGACTCCACTCAACTAAAAATGCACAGTTAATTAATTAATTAATTAATTAGTTCTAATAAAAAAAATAAAAACCAAAGCTAAGAAATATTCCTAAGGCCAAAAGATGCAATAAAAAAATTTAAAGATAGATAAAAAGACATAAAATGAGCAACTTTGATTTCCAAGTCATCGATTTGACAAATTGCTTTTTTTAATTTAACTTCGTAATCAGTTTTATCATTTTTCGCAGCCTCCAATTTGACATTCAATTCTAAGATTTCTTGTTCGGACCTGAAACTTTCCACCGTTTGAGAAATCGAACTGCCATAACGTTGCTACAAATAAATAATTTACCTGGTCTGAGTTTCATTTAATATTTCGAATTCCAAGGCGCGTGCACTGATTTCGGAATTGAGACTAGCAGCTTTTTCAGTAATTTGCAAAATTTCAGCTTTTAGAGCATTATTCTTAAATAATTTCATTCCACGCAGAGGACTTCATATTTTACGAACAAAAAAAAAGAACTGAGTTCAAAATGTAACCTCATTGATGAAATTTTCATTTTCATCCTTGACTTTGTTATAGGCCAAATTAAGTTCCTCTTTTCCATTGATTAAATCAGCAATACTTTTCTCAGCACTATAAATAAATTGAATAATGGATGGTAAAAATTGAACGACTTTAATCCAATTTTTTCCAAAAAAAATTTTTCACAATACCAATGAATAGACCAACAGGAACAAATACCAAAAATATAATGAAATTAAAAATGATTATAAATTAATAAATTAAATAAATCAAACTAATTCTTGCCTTGAATTACATTCATTAAGTTTTGCGACTTCCTCAGCAAGCGCTTGTAGTTCTTTATTTTGCTTCTCATTTAAAAGATTTTGTTCTTCATTAACTATCTTCATATCGTTGAGCTAAAATCATAAAAATTATTAAAAATAAAAATGAAAATATCAAAAAAAAATTTACATTTTAATAACAACAAACAAAAACAAAAGAAATTAGCATAAAAATAAAATAAAAAGCACTTCAGCTATTACGGTTGCCTTCTCATTGCTAATTTCAGATATTTTCGTTTCTAAATGAGCTTTATCTTTTTGAAAGAGCTTGGATTCTTCAAGAACGCGAACATTATCTTCTTTTAACCTGAAATAAAACAATATAACTAAAGAAGTAAGAAAAATATTCAATTAAAAATAATTGGAAAGTACCTAAACTTATGTAGAGATTTACCTAGAGATTTCATTTGAGAGTTCCATTATTTTTTCCATGTAACTGGTTGTTTCTGATTTTTGAGAATTTTTCAGTTCTTCGATTAAATTCTTCTGCAGAAGATTTGCTCTGATCTACAACATGAAGAATTAATATAATTTAAATGTTCTTTAACTTTTTTTTGTAATTTTAGAACCTTGAAAAAAACTAAAAGATAACCATGGTCTCTAATTCTTGAATGCGTGCCAAAGCTGCTTGCAATTCTGCATCACTTTTATCTTTTAAAATTTGTTGCATATCTAACGCTTTTTGCAACCTGATTATATTCTCTTCAAGCCTTAAAATATCGAAATTTCAAACAAAAATACATATTATAATATTAAAAATTTTGGATTTTGGTATATAAGAATATTGAAAAAAAATTTTAAATTAACAAAAGCATAAATTTATTAACAAAGAATTTTCTGAAATGGACCCAACAAATATGACTCTTTTGAGCATAGTTGATGAAATTCACAAAAAATAATTTCATTTTATTTTTTTCATAAATTTCTTACTCATTATTTGTTAGCTTCATTTTTTCATAGCTTTCATTTAACGATTTTAAATTATCATCCTGCAGTGATAATTGATCCAATTGTTTTTGGTTCTCCATTTTTAATTGATCGACCTAAAGCAATAATAAAGTTTAAGTGCACATAAAAAATAATTACACCAGCAGAAAAATTGAAAAAACGATAGACGAAATTCAATTTTTCAAAGATTACCGTTTATTTCGCCAAAAATTTTTAAAGAGGAGGTTTAAAGAATTTCAATAATAGATAATATAAAAGGCTATTACATTTAACCATTCTATCAAAGGATCAAAAAGCAAGAGAATTACCAGTGCATTCAGATTTTCAAATTTCTCATTAGATTCTATAAGATTTGAATTGGAGATTTCCATTTTGTCCTTCAAAATTTGTAACTGCGATTCAGTTTTTGAATTTTTTTCTCTCAAACTATAAACATTTGTTAAGAATAATTAATATGGAAAAGGCGGAAGAAAAAAAAATGAAGAAAAAAAGGTTAAAAAAGGAAATATAAAAAAAAAAATACGAAAACAAAATACCTTGTAAGTTCACCCTCAAGCTCTGTTATTTGTTGTTTAAATATTTTAATCTGAGATTCTTGAGAAGCCCTGAGGTCTTCTAAAGATCGCCTATTTTCATCGCTTTTATTAATCTATAAAATTGATTTTAAATAATATCAAGTAAAGTTAAATTTGCAAACACAAATGACTTATTGTAAAATAAAAAAGTAGAAACCATAGTTTCCAATTCTAGCACGCGAGATAAAGCAATTTTAAGATCATCATCAACGCCAGCCTTCGATCGTGCCAGTTGGTCTGCTTGATGAGTAGCCTCAATGATTTCAGCCTCTAACCTTGAAAATATTCAATAAATGAAAAAAATTATAGAAATGGTAAAGCTCATGGAACGAATCTTCAAGAAAAAAAAGAGAACCTCGATATATTATCTTTCCATTCTTCTGCTTTCATTCTATGCTGATCAAGTTGTTCCTCTCGATCTTTAATTAATTCTTCATGAATTTTCCTAGATTCTACCATATCATTTAACTAAAAAATGGAACGAGATTAATATAATTGTGATAAGCCACGCAGGTTAAGAGAAATAAAAATAATTTATATCAATTATAATAATTTATATCAGCTTCAAAATGATCGATTACTTTTCTTTTAATTATAAGCGAAAATATAAATTTTTTTGGAACATCTATAACCTTTTCTGTTAAATTTCGCAATTGTTGTTCGGAACTCTTCAATTTTTCAACTAAATCATTATTCTCCTTTTCCACGCTTTTCTTTGAAGTTTCCATTAAAGAAAATCTGTTTTCCAGCCTATAAACTTGATTTGCACGAAGTTCATATAGTTCAATTAGGTAATACAGGCAAATGAATATGATAACTTAAAGGAAAATACTGACAATGATCTTTAAATTATCCCCAAATTAAAATTAAATTAAACTTAATTAAAGGTTTTCATGAGAAAACGAGGCGAAATGAAATGTTTCGTTCAGAAAATTAATAAAGTAAATATTAATAAATATACTCTGCAATATATTTCTCTTGATCGACGGATATTTTTGCAGTTTTCTCATAATTTTCTCTGTTTTGCCCATCGATTCTTCGAAGTTCCTCTAATCGATTCAACTGCAAGAAGTACTTCCATCATTATTATTAATACCTCGATTAAATAAAAAAAAATTTCTATGTTGTTATTATACTGTTTAGTAATAACAAAATAAAAATAAAATAATATAAAAATATTTAAATATATATAAAATAAAGATATAATAATTCTATACTTCTGATTCAGTTTCTTGCAATTTAGAATAAAGCGTTTCACGATCAGTCATAAGATCCTCAATTTGTTCTTCCAAACCTATAAGAAATTATTGAAGCAAGAAAGATTTTAAAAAATCACATTCAAATATTATTAAACTAATTATATTATAATTGTATTTGTAATTAATTATATAGGGCACCAAAGTTTCCAGAATGTTATTTAAATTTTGTTCAGATTTAATCCATTTATTCAAAAATGAAAAATTAAAAAAATCGGAATATTAACTGATCTCATATAATCATTTTCATTTTATGTTTTATGATAAAACAATTCAAAACAAATACGAAAAAAGGAAAAGATTATTGCTGAATTAGTCCGCATTAATCCACATGCTTTCGTATTTTTGAGAATGCGTAACCATGGGATGGAGAAATAATGTTATTTCGATTTAGATTAACTTGTTCCTTAGTTTGATAAAAGCCCGGCATTAAAAGTGAAATCCTGGTGCTGACGAAGACCTATCATATCCACTCAGAGGATAAAGTATAAAATAAAGGATAAAAGGATAAAGGATAAGGATAAAGTCTTAACAAAGTCTTAACAGCCACTGCACCTACTTAATGAAAAGTGTTGAAAGAAAAGGGAAAATAATATTACTACACAATACTAACCACGACAATGAATTTCCAGTTCTTTTAAGGTATTTTCAAGCACAACCACCTATAAGAAAAATCTTTCAGAAGAGAATGATTAATTATTCTGATCTTGAGATTTTTATAGAATTAATAATTAATAATTACTTTTGGGAATAGGATGACAAATGGATTAATAACCTTATTTTGCAACTACGAAACTCTTGCAGAAATTCTTGCAGTTCTTGCAGAAATGAACTTGCTTTTTAAAAATCAGGTTGATCTGGTAATTTACCTATATTTATATCTCCAAATGGCTTCGTAGCAAAATTCACCAGGACGGATAAGTCATAGGAGCGAGCGTAACCGAAAGTAGTAAGCCCTTTTAGAAAAAAATTAATTTCGTTTGTTAAATGGCAGCAATCTAATCACTCCTTGTCACTCAATAAAAGTCCACAGATAAAAAGAAAAGGAAATGGCAAGCATTAAGATTAACAGAAAAAAAAATTTCAGGTTTAACTGATGAGATAATTCTCTGGCTATTTTTTAATGTCAAAATAATTTTCAGTCTAACCTTCGATTTTTTTTCAACATCAGTTTTATTCACTTCTGCTAGTTTCTCAGATATTTCTGCACACATGATTTCTTTTTCTTCCAAAAGGAAAGTGAGTTCATCAATTTTCTAAAATTAAAGCTAATATATTTTTCATATTTAAATTATGATGCTGTAACAAAAAATTTCGGCGAGAAATTACTTCTGTTTTCTCCTTGACCTCTAACATAAGGTCTTGGTTTTCCGCTTCTACTGTTGCATTTCTAGATTTTAAGTTGATTAGTTTATCTTCTAGAATGGCTGAATGTGTACTACCAGTCATTTGACCTTCAAATAGAGCAAGCTTCGCTTCAACTTCTTCGCAGTGATTTGAAAGCCGAGCCATTTCATTACGTTCGAGATCTCGTTCTTTTATCATTTGCTCCAGATGTTTTTCTTTTTCTTTTAAGGAATCCTAAAATGGAAAAATACAATTAAATAAGTTTGAATCGTCGAAAATATTTTTATAGATTTTTATTAGTATTTTACCTTTTAATGTTAAAGAAACTGAATAATTGAATAAAAAAAAAAATTATGAAATGACTAAATGAATAAATAAAATAGCAAACGACTTAGAAAGAATAATTCAAATTTTTCAAATAAAGAAATAAAAGAATGAAAGAAAAATAAAAGAATTATTCAAATTTTTCAACCAGAGCTTATCAATAAGAAAATAAGTAGATATTAGATACTTGTAGTGTAGTGACAAGTTCATCCAGACCACGAGCAGAAGATAATACGATTGGCCGCTAAAAAATTCTGTTTGTAATTAACATTTAAATTAAAAATAAACATGAAATGAATTTTCTGTCTTTTCCAACTATTTTGCTCATTGAAAGAATTAATCTTTCGCAAAAAAAAATATATTAAACTACGAAAACCTCGATTAAATATCAACTAAATAGTTTAAAATTTTAATTTAATTTTAACTTGTATATTTCTTTGAGGAGCAAAGCTAAATTTTGAGATTCTAGATGAAGCAATGGATGAAGCCCCGATAGACGCTAGCGATTCATGGCTCCCAGAACGTTGCCTTAGTGCTGATGTCTTGGTATGTCGAATCTTGAAAATATAAAAATATTGTTAAAAAAAATGTTTGATTTCAAAAAATTTAAGTAACAATACCAAAATGACTTAATTTAATGTCCCACTTTTATTTTTGCTGGTGACTGGTTTGGAACACGTGTTATTTTTGATGCAGCCGCAAATAAGCCATGAAACGGTTGGCATGTGAAATATCGTTTACCCTTAAACCACAGAGTATATATATTTTATTTCACTTATTTACTTTGCTGAACAACCCGAAGCCGGAAATCTGGGATATATTTTAAAAATATTATATTGTTATATAATTAATGTTATATAATTTTGCAAAATTGCAAAAAAAAAGTAACCTGAACGCTGCCATCATTCTTACCAACTGGTTGATCCAGCTCTATGCCAGCCCAAATACCATCTTGAAAATCCGTATTGCCTAAATAACGAATGGTACCTATTTTTCCACCAGATACAACTACTCTGTCGCCAACATCGAATCTAAATTGATTGACGATTGAAAATCAATTAGCGATTTTAAAAAAATGAGAAAAAAGTAGAATATTAAAAAGCTTAAGACAAAACAACAAAAAACAATCGGAGATAATAGTGATATTTAATCTTATCTAATATCTAATATATCGAAGGATCTCACTGACCCGAATTCTTTAGTATATGGGTTTTCAGGTATTATTTCAGATACACTTGACTGTATTCTTTCCAATTTACTTGCCTTACAAAAGAGGCCATGATTCGGAGCACACTAAAAAAAAATAAATCGCAAAATAAATAGAATATAGATGAAATTAATATTCAAAAATAAATTAAAATTGAAATAACATAAAATTTTATAAATTATATAAATAAATTGAATTTTTTGACATAATAGATATATAAATTTATTGTAAAATTAATAAAAAAAATATTAATTCAGCATGGATTAACTGTTTGAGATAGACAATTATGGACAAACTTTCACGTTTCTATTCATACTGAATTCTCACCGACCTCAAAATTCTCAAATTCAAGATCCTAAAAACTTTTATACCTTCATATTCTACATATTATGTCATTATATCATATCACGTATCACGTATGATAAGGACGATCAAGGATATGAAGAAAAGTAAGTTTCTTTAGAAAAATTAGATCAAAATTTCCCCACGAATTGCAAAGAGTATATATTTAAAGTTAAATCATCTCAAATTCAGAAAAAAAAACAAAAAAAACAAAAATTAAAAACAAACAGTTTTCAAATAAATTTAAACAAACAAAATTATTTAAATAAAAAACCTAGAAAAAACTAACAGTAAAATACCGCTGTCCATCCACTGAACCATCGTTTTTACCGAGCGGTTTATCAAGCACTAAGCCAATCCATTCACCTGGAGCAAAATTTGTAGGACCAATGTACACAATCGATCCAATACGTTTTTCTATCTGACATCGATCACCGATTTCCCAATCACCAACCTTACTTACCGCCGATATAATCGATTCTTTACCTAAAGAAACAAATAATCGCATTTAATTTATGGGAATATTAGAAATTTATAAAATTTTTGCCTCAAATTATTAATTTATTTAATTAATAAAATGAAATAATGAAAAAATCTACGAAATAAAATCGAATATCGAAATTTAGTTGAAATAAATTAATGGCAGTAGAAACCTTAATGCATTAATAATTGTATGAGAAAAATAAAAAATTATTTTTCTTTTATTGAAAAAAGTAAAAATATTATAATAAAAAACTTTTCTTACTTGTACTACGCGTTAAATTCATTTAAATTAAATCGATTTGCGAAAAATCTGAAAAAAAACTCAATCGAATAATAATAGAATTTTAATAATAAAATAATACATTCTTTTTTTAAAAAAAAAGGATCTACAAAGAAATATTTTTCGAAGAAAACTGAAACCAAACATTTGAAAATTAGAACTAATAAAAAAGATAAAATCAAAAATTTCAAACAGAATTTAAAGAAAAATAAAACGAACTTACCTTTTTCCAATTTTTTTATAATAATTTCGAGATATTTCATCCAAATCAATAATTTCGTCAGCAAAATTACCTATTGGATAAACAATGAAATACTAAAAATCCAGTTTTAATTAATATACTGAACATAACGCAACGACTACCAGAAAAATTAAGAAAACGAAAAAAAACATAAGTTGATAAAGTCTGATAAATATTGCCTATAATTTTCTTAATAGCATAAAAAGGTGGGACAAAAATAAAAGTGTTGAAACACATCAAAAATTGAAAGCAGCCATTCAGAATAATTTTATTCATTTTTAACCAATTATCACTTCGACCAAAAAAATTATCAGTTGTCATAAAGTTATCATAACTTGTAAGAAAAACTATTAGAACTGGAATTCCTATCGCAAAAAACTCTTTCATAATTTATCATTTATTTTCCGATTTACGAAACTAGTTTATTGAATTCGTTCGGGAATGTTTTAAAAACTTTTTAGAATCACAAAAGTTTCTCAAAAAATTGAAAAGATTATTTGAGTATTTTTAATAAAAAAGTAATAAAAAAGATAAGACAAGGAATTGAAAATTTCTCGTAATATTAATTATAGTAATTTTATCAAATCTTTAATTACGATTCATGAAAAGGCAAAAAAATCGTTAAATTCTTAAATTTTTTTTAAATTTAATTAAAAATTAAGCGCTTATCAAATATTAACTGATAATAAAGATAGACCAAACAGCAAATTCCCCCATATTTTCCACCAAAAATTTTTTTAATAAAATATTCAAATTCCAAGAGTATATAACATTCATGGTTAGGCTCATTTGTAGGACTAAATAAAGTTTGCAGTGAAGATAATCAGCTGCAAGCGCTGATAAATTCGGATTTTCAAAGTCGAGTTTATCGGCCAAAAGCAAAATCCTAGTTTTCTAAAATGGAGAGAGTAACAACACATTCAGCCACTCAATTCTTCCATAAAACTGAAATACATCGAACTTGTTTCAAAGAAGTAACATATTTTATAGCAACGCAAGAAAAAGAACCAACTGTTCAATCGAATTAACTAAATTAATTTTACAAAAAATTACCAATGAAAAAATTCCTCACTTGCGTTAAAAAATCTTCCAATAGTGTACAATATTTCTAATTTTGCTGGTTTCCACTGACTACTATATAGCGAGATTCAAGCGAAGAGAAAGGCGCAGATATATATCCTTACTGTCATGTAAAGAGAATCGAATTAATATTACTCTATTCTCAGCAGAAGTAACAATTATTCACCTTAAAAATAAAATTTTGAAAAAATTTCTTTAAAAATCAACAAATAAAACAATTTTTCTTCAAGTTTAATTTTAAAATATTATATTATATTAAAATAAATAAAATATTTTATATTAAAATAAATAAAATTAATTTATAATTTTCACAATAAAATTTTTATGCTATTATTTAAGTTATTTAATCATTTATATTTATTATTTATTATATATTTATTATTTACATAATTGTATTCAATTAAACCATTCATTTATTATAAAATAAAATGGAAAATCTTCATCAAATCATCGACATTTTTTTCATTTCTTTAAAGATTTCATTTTTTTTCCGAAAATCAAAAAATTAAAAAAAAATTATTAAAAAGAAAAAAAATTTTCCAATAATAAATAAAATTTTTTGAAATAAATTTGAAATAATTCATCTTTTTTAAATCAATTTATAAAATATTATTTAACGAATAAGAAAATTTAATTAATATTTAATTAATAAACAAATTAATATTTAATATAAATCAATATTTAGTGTTATGAATGATTGATTCAAAATTCATTTTTATTTTAATAAATTTCTTATCAATTTTCTTGAAAAATAAAACCAAAAATCTTTAAGTTGATATTTCGATGTTCGTCACTAATCACTTACCGCCATCTTTTAATAAAGAAAAAACTATAAAATTATCGAGAATACAATCGATTCGACTAAGAGAAAACAGATAAAAAAAAGGAACTAACTTCTCTTGGAAGAAATGGAAAAAAATCGCTGATTAGCATGAAGAAGCCGAGTAAAATAAGCATTTCTGCCATTAATGCAATCGTTCAACTGCTATTAAAAATGAAATCCAGGTGATGTTGGGAATCGAGCGCTCCACACGTGACGAAACTGGAATTCAATGGAACCAGAAAAGCTTCCAAAAGAAAAATATTTAAAAGAAAATTTTGCTTAAATTTTAAAATTATCAATTTTTTTGTACTAAAAATTTAGGCAAAAGAAAGAATATACATAAAAACTGGCCATTTATGAGACAAGTGCACGTTTCTTTTCGCTCAAATCAACTAATCTAATTTTTTTCTCATTTTTTTAATATTTAACAAATATTTGCACAGCTTTTAGCGAAAGATTTCCTTTTGTTTTCATCGAATAATAAAAAAAGATTTGTTATTTTTTTATTTAATAAAAAATAATGAATTTTTTTTATAATAATAATTTAATTTTTTATTTTTTTGCATAAATTTATTTCCCTCCAAATTTTTGAATATTTTCATAAATATAAATATTTAAATAATTAAAAATATTTGACGAAATGAAAAATTATTTAGAAAAATCTGGAAATCTCAAAAGACAATTCGATCCAACTAACTGGCAACCAACAACTTCAACAACCCCGCAACAACAACAACAATAACACTAAAATAAAAACATTTGAGCAACTGTTAAGTGAAAAAAGCCGCAAGCTGAATTTTGGATCATCTCTAACAATCGGACGTTGAGTATTTCCTGGATTTTTATTTAAGCCTTACCCTCCTCTTTTTAGAGGAAGATTTCATACCTATAATCTTCTTTTTTTTCTAACAGCTCTCACCATTACTGGTTAGGCGTGCTGTAATGGCTACAAGGATAAGATGCTATCAAGTGGCGCGGTCTGGTGCCATCGATAGAAGCCATTTCTTTTTCCATCGTCTAAGTCCATATATTTCTGGTCCACCAGTACGTTCAAAATCTTTTCTCACCGTATCTGTCCAGGTCTTGATTGGCCCACCTCGCTTTTGACACCCCCCATCACAGGCTTTAGCTTTAACAAATACCGAAATATGCGTCAACTTCTATGATGAACGACGATGAACGCGCCCTAACTAGTGAAGGCGACGCTTTGTGATAACATTATTAATGCAAATGGAAGGTGGATGCGATCAAGTGATATTTTATCCACTCGGCGAGCCCCTAAAATGTATCTTAGACAAGAGTGGTCAAAGTTAGATAACTTCTTAATATCCTCCACTTTCATTGGTCATGTCTCAGAATCATATAGCAAGATCGAACGAATCACGGTTATATAGATGCGGACTTTCCTTTTAATGGTTGCTTCACGATGATTGCATAAAGGTCAGAAGAATGCATCTCTAACTGCCCTGATCCGAGTTGTAATATCTTTCACCTGTCCATTTGATATTAGAGTAGAGTAGTAGAAGATATTTAAAGTCAGGCACTTCCTCGACGGCAATGGATTTACAAAAAGAGGCATTTTATCAATTTCTTGTATATAAGACAAAAAGGCTTTTTGTATACATTGAGCCTGAGTCCTATTCTTGCTGCTGTTTCTGACACGTTATTTAGCATTACGTGCATTTCGTCATAACTGTCAGCAAAAAGGACTACATCATCAGCGTATTCAAGATCTGTGATACGATGCTCTGGACTGATTTGGATGCCCCTTGAGTGCAGACAAGCGGTGTCCATTACACAGTATATCGCATAGTTGAATACTGTAGGGCAAAGGACGCAGCCTTGACGAGCACCAGTTTTTATTTCGAAGGAGTCTGTCAGTTCCCCATATACATAGAACTGTGCCGACGTTTGCTCATAAAATGCCTTTACAAATCGAATGATCTTCTCTGGAATACCATCGCATTCCATCACCCTCCAAAGCACCTTTATATCGAATAAATCACATCTAGTCACGTGAAATTCTTCGGATAACTAACACTTCAACCAGGCCTATAATTGTCGAGAATAATAGGAATTTTTCTTAAAAGATTATTCTAATGGCGTTCTGGAAAAACTTGTTTGAAAATGTTGTTTGCTATTTATTTAATTTTGATTATTTAAAATTGAAAATTGTCGTTGAATCTATTAAATAATAATTTAGATTATGAATGTTCGACTTTGGCTCCTTAGGACCACAGTGATTAAAAAGCATAGGGCTCTTTGGCTTAAGATATATACTATAATTAAGTATAAAAAATAAAAAAGGAAAAAAACTTTATTTTTTTATATTTATCATTTTTTGAACATAAAATCAGTGGTATATTTTACTTTGATTTTGGAAATATATTGAGTTCATAATGTTGAGAATAATGTTCATCGACACTCTACAAGTAGCGAAATAGTACCATTGCTGGCGCCACCAATGTTACTGCCAAATAGTACCATATTTTATAGAAAATCATGTAATAATTTTGATTCATAATCATTATAAGTTCGAATGGTTTTAATAAATCAATTTTAGAAATCTGAATATTGTTTTATTGAGTAAATAAAGTACAA